GCCTACTTGTGGACGGGGAATAACTGCAGAGAAAAGAATCAGGAGATAGCGGATTGCATGAGTGCGGATATTAAGGAATTTGGTAATGGGGCCGAAATCATCCTTCTAGGGGACATGAATGCCCACATACATGACCTTGACGGATATTCAGACACCAATGGGAAGTTATTACTAGATCTTTGCGAGCAACATAGTCTGGAGATAGTTAACACGGGGCCTAAATGTGACGGCCAGATCACATGGGAAGTCGGAAACAAGCAATCAAGTATTGATTATTGTCTCATGACTGAAGGAATTTACCACAAACTGACAGAAATGAGGATAGACGAGGAAGGCATTAACAGCTTGGGTAGTGATCATAAACGAATAACATTACAAATGGGATACGAAACTGAAAATATGAGCATGGAATCAAAGTCTGGCAGCTCGTATTTAAATGACAAACAAATAATAAATATAGCCGCAAGAGTCGAGGAAGAAGTAGGCGAAATACCAGGCAAGGACTGGGAGTATAGTGAGCTGTTACATCTAATGACGAAGGAGATAGGGAAAGAGAAGAAAACTGTTTGCTGGAAAGGAAAAAGGAAACCAAAAAGTTGGTGGAACAAGGAAATCCGGGAGGCGATCGAGAAGCGACGCGAAGCATCACGGGAGCATAGAAAGGCAAAAAAGGAGAAGCGGCCGCAGGACGAAGTCAAAAAAATATGGGAAATATATTTAGAGAAAAAATCCCTTGTACAGAAATTGGTAGAGGCAAAAATTAAAGGTGAAAGTGAACGCTGGATGACAGAGATACACGAAAAAAAGGAGGCCGCGCCTAGGATTTTTTGGAGCCACATAAAGGCGCTAGGTAGGAAGTCTGTCACAACGCAACAACATATTCTAGATGAAGGAGGAAATCAATTGGAAGGGTACGAAGCGCTAGGTTACATCCAAAAGGTAACAGCCGATTCGTTTCAAAAGAGCGTCCAGGGGATCTCCCCGGTGAGTAAAAGTGTGGCGGAGAAAGCAACAGAGGAAGAGCTAGTACTTGATACTTTCAACTGGAAAAAGGCCGAAGGAAAAATTCCAAAGCGCACTGCCGCGGGTTTAGATGGGATTCCCGTTAGCCTCATTAACGAACTAGGACATAACACTAAAGAAGCATTGTTAAAAGCAGTAGAAAAAAGCTTAAAGGACGGACAAATACCGGACAGTTGGCGACAAAGTAGAATGAACTTAATCTATAAAGGCAAGGGAGAAAAGGACAAGATTCGCTCGTATAGACCACTAACCATTACATCGGTACTATACAGGTTGGCGATGCAAGCAGTAAAAATGAAAATAGAAACATGGGCCGAACATAACGATATTTTGGGAGAACTTCAGAACGGATTTCGAGTCGACAGGCGGTTAGACGATAACCTGTTTGTTCTCACTCAGTGTATAGAAATATCTAAAATAGAGAATAGGCCCTTGTACGTGGCTTTTCTAGACATCACTGGGGCATACGACAACGTTAATCAGGAAATTTTGTGGGATATATTGAAAGGAATGGGCATGGGCGACGACTGTATACAGCTTTTGAGGGAGATATACCGAGAAAATACAGTTTGCATAGAGTGGGAAGGAATGCGTAGCAAAGAGAACGTTGAGGTTAGCAGGGGGCTGAGACAGGGATGTCCTTTGTCCCCGCTGTTATTCATGCTGTACATGGTGAGTATGGAAAAAGCGCTAGAAGGTAGCAACATTGGTTTTAATCTGTCACACAAACAGGGAGGCATGATGATTGAGCAGAAGCTTCCAGGTTTATTTTATGCGGACGATATCGTCTTATTTGCGGACAGTCGAGATGATATACAGCAGCTGGCGAATATATGCGGAAGGGAAGGTGAAGCTCTTGGACTAGGATTCAGTGTAACGAAGTGTGGATTGATGGTATTCAATGATCCCTGTGATCAGACGGTGTCCATACAAGGCCAAGAAATACCGAGGGTAAGTGAATACAAGTACCTTGGAGTATGGGTAAATGAGAGTGATAGATACATGGAGGTACAGGAAAAAGCCTCGGCGGCAAAAGGAAAGAGGAATGCGGCAATAATGAAGCACAGAGCGTTGTGGGGATACAATAGGTATGAGGTGCTTCGAGGTCTGTGGAAGGGTGTAATGGTTCCAGGGCTTACTTTTGGGAACTCAGTGGTGTGCATGAGGGCAGAGGTGCAATCGGGAATGGATGTAAATCAAAGGACTGTGGGACGCCTCGCGCTGGGTGCTCACGGGAAGACGACAAACGGGGCTGTAAAGGGCGATATGGGGTGGGCAGGTTTTGAGGCGAGGGAAGCGCAGAGCAAAATAAGGTTCGAAGAAAGGCTAAGAAATATGAAGGAGAGTAGATGGGCAGAGAAGGTGTTCCGTTATTTGTATAGGAAGAGCGTGGACACACAGTGGAGAAAAAGAACTAGAAGACTCACTAGTAAATATACGGATGGTATTGTAAGCCATATGTCAACAAAGAGCGTTAAGGGAAAAGTCAGGGAGGCGGAGAGGATTTACTGGATGGCAGCTATGGAGAAAAAACCGGCTTTGAGTAACTACCGAAAGGGCAAAAATGAAATAAGGAGGGAGGCATTTTACGATAATTCAAGGGGAAGCGCTTTACTGTTTGAAGCGAGATCGGGTTGCCTTAGAACGCGTAGTTATAAAGCAAGATTCAGTAAAGAAGAAGAACAATGCACATGCTGCGGGAAAGATAAGGAAACGGCGGAGCATGTTCTGATTGAATGTGGAGATATCCACCCAGGTGTACGTTTGGGCACGAGCCTACAGGAAGCCTTGGGTTTTAGGGACAACAATGGAAAGCTGAACACACCCGCGATTGAAATAAGTAAGAGACGGTTAGAGTATTGGTGGCAGAAAATTAGAGAGAAAGGACAAAAATAAATATTGGAAAAATAAAATATGGACAGTGTGCCGTAAATGGCAGAGAACTTAAGCTGAAAATTTACCTTTTTTTCCATTAAGATAGAATTTATCGAAGTAGAGGCATTAGGCCAACATAAAAAAAGAAAAAAGGTTTTTTTTTTTGTCGAGCCTGGTGGCATACTTGTCACCACCCCGTTATAAAGGGGACGCTCATAGCATCCATCCATCCACTTTGGTGCGTGCTCTTGTGGGATTTGAGACCGCATTGGCTCTTGCTTTAAAATACGTTCGCTCTTGGCTCTTTCGGCGGCAGTCTGCGTGCTTCGAGTACGAGCGACGAAGACAAGGCGGCGAAGCGGAGGGCTCGGAAAACGGCTGCAGCGCGTTTTCGCCGTCTTTCCATAAGGATCAACTGGGTAAGTATTACGGAGGATTCATGGTTTACCGAATCAAGGCTTCAAGGCTTCGCCCACTCAAGGCTTCGCCCACTCATCAGAATTCAAGGCTTCGCCCACTCATCACCATTCACTCCGTGGATATGCTGTGATTTTTTTTTGTTTTGTTTTTGTTTTATGCACTCTCTCAGCAATAACGCGATTGTTCATAGAGTGCAAGGGGGAGTGGCCACGGCTGGCACCGCTCCAGTGCATGAACAGACGGACGGACGCTAGTGTGAGAGATTAAGGACTCTCGCCTAAAGATATACAAACAAGAGTCCTAAAGTACTAGACTGAAATGGGATGTGTAAATAGAACCTATCACCGAGCTCGACTTTATTTATTTATTTATTTTATTTATGAATACTGCAACCCTAACATAGGGTGTTGGCAGGGTGGATATACATTTGATAAGTTTACAAATCGGCAAACAAATAAATATAAAACAGGTAAGGCATTTACACACTTTCATAACGAAAAAAAAGAACAGTGGTTTGTAATAAACCGGCATAAGAACATATAGAGAAATGAGCGCTAAATTCAAAATGATCACAAGTGGAGAATGGTTACAGTGATTGAAATAAACAACAGGAGCACATGTCATAGAAATTAGACACTCGCTGCTAGAGCTGCGCAGCAAAAAAGTTCAAGGATGACTGGGAAACAACTTCGTTACTAAGGTTATTCCATTCGGTAATTGTCCTAGGGAAGAACGGATACTTGAATGTGTTATTACGGGTGGAAAATGGGGTTATTGTAAAGGCATGTCTCTGCCTTGTGGTATATCCTGTGGAAAAATGAAGTATATATGTGATAAGTCTAACTTAAAATAACCTTTAACTAACTGAAAGAAAAATTTCAATCTTAATACTTTATTTCGTTGTGTAGGTGTTGGGAGGTTAGCTTTTGCTAATAAACATGTTATACGCCTTCCGATTTCCACCTTGCTAGTTAAGCATGCGCCTACGCACCTTTATAATACGTACACTCGTTTTTTTGTTTTTTTTTTGCGTACGCCCACACATTCGCCGCCGTTTCGTAAATGGTCGTCCCTGCTGTTGCACCTTCCTTTCGCGAGAGCTCGTCATCTCAGCCTTCGTAGCCATCTCTCTTCTTCTTTTACCATCTTCGCTCATTCTTTTCAAGAAGTATCAATTAGGCAATTAATGATTACGTATAAAGTGAACATTTGCGACATGCAGGGAGTAATAGTCAAGAAACCAAACCGAGAGGTCGGTCAAATAAAGCTGCTTGGGCGAGTCGGCATTGCATGATGAAGAAAGAAATGCGCTCGAAGAACGTTAACGCAAGTTGATAACAGGACCGACAACAAAGCTGAAGGCGCCCCCACATTCATCCTTCCCACATTTTATTGAATGCAGTTTTTTTAAGGTACTTACAGTGCCGCACGGCGTTTCAGCGAGGGGTGGTCATCACATGCAAATTGCGTAATTTTATGCAAGACAGCTTGAAAAGAAGGGTGGTCGAACTTGTTGGCGACGGAGTCACGGAAAGTAGTTCCATTCAGATTTTGTCTTTGGCTGGAATGAATTGAAGAAAAGGCTTGTCCGGCAACTTTGCACCGGTGCGATGGCACCGGGTGCAAAGTTGCGCGACTGAAAAAAACTGTCCGCTCACTGTTCTTTTCTTATCGACTCGCAGAATGCGGTGGAAACCTGACGGCACTGTCGCGGCCAGCCCGCCTCTACAGTCCTGGCTACCCGAAGGCCTACGAGTCCAACAAGCTCTGCCGCTGGGTCATCACCGCCGAGGGAGACATCACGCTGCACTTCGTCAACGTCGAGATCGAAGATTCGCCCAGATGCGAGTACGTCACGCGTCGTTAACGCGGGGGCGAATCGGCGACGGTTCGTCACTGTGTGCTTGCGAAAGGCTCTGCAGGGTGTTCAATCAGCAGCGTGTTTGTTCAGTTAGGTACAGAGGAAAAGCGGATTACAACAACAACAACAACAACAACAACAACAACAACAACAACAACAACAACAACAACAACAACAACAACAACAACAAAAAGAATATTCAGTTATATACAAGCAGAGAGAAGGGAACTGAGGGATGCATGGCAATGATTCTGTTGGGTAGTTTGTATCACAGTTGCACAAAAGTTAAATTAAATGCATTAACACTTATGCTTCGGCGTTGACCCCCGCGCTTGCCGGATCGATAGGTTCGCCTATTGCACGTGACTGCTCGGATATGCTTTCGTGCCTTTCTCTCTTTCCCGCGGTAGTGCGCCTCTTCGGTTGTCAGTTGGCATTTGAGATGTGTTCGCTTCCTCCTTCTCTCCGTGTTTGCACGACCATGCCTTTTTAGTATGAACACTTACCAACTAGCCCAGGTTTCCGTTATTCTAAGCACGTCTTCGTTCAGCGAACCGGTAGAGCAGGAACACACAAATGACAGAGGAAGAACCACACAGCAGGAGCACTTGGCCTGTGTGATTCTTCCCTCTGTCTTTTGTCCCTCTGCCCGCGCTCCCAGTTCGTTGAACGAATATGAACTGCCAACTGGCCCACCTTTCTATCCTCCTAAGTAACTCATTTCTTATTCATTTTCTTTCTTGAATCTATTGAGAAGTTTGTCTTTCTTCGTACTTGATTAATTAAAAAGGGGCGGGGGGGGGGTACTGCAATAACATTTCCCCCCTTCGCCACAAAATGGCGAACCCTGCTCACGCCGATGGTTGGTATTGTCATCGTGTGGTCTGCCTTATCGCCTTTACTTCAACGCCTTTAGCGCTACAAAACGACTTTCCTTGATTGTAGTGATATTGTGCATCTGCATGCGGCACCTATCGTAATGCCACCTTGATAGCATTGGGTGACAATATGCTCCATAAATTACGACGTCTGTGTCGCTTCTGGTTCGTGCAGGTACGACAACATCGTCGTGCTCATCGGACCCAAGCAGGTGCCCATGGACAAGATGTGCGGCACCATCACGAACCGTACCATAGCCATCAACTCCACCGCGGTCACGGTGGCCTTCAAGTCGGACGAGTCGTACGAGGAGAAAGGGTTCTACCTGGAATTCTCGGCCGACACCGGGGTCGCAGGTCAGCAATGAGACCGTGATAGAGAGCGGCTTCTGCTGGTGACGTTATATGCTGGTGTCAATGAAAACTGAAAAATTCACATCTTAAGGTGCGTTCACATTCGTTGACGTGATGAACGTTGACGTACGTCACGGCAGCTGACTCACAGTCCGAGGATTGATGGATGGATGCATGGATGGTTGGGTGGATGGGTGGATGAATGAATGCATGAACGGACGGACAGACAGACAGACAGACAGACAGACAGACAGACAGACAGACAGACAGACAGACAGATAGATAGATAGATAGATAGATAGATAGATAGATAGATAGATAGATAGATAGATAGATAGATAGATAGATAGATAGATAGATTCAGACAGAATCACTTCTTCTTGGGTCTGATGATGAACATTCATGATGTGAAGCACCGCATATCACAAAAGCTCCTCGAAATAGATGGATACAACTTGTTAACTTTGACCACTTGGGAGTTTGGGTAAGTTTTGATATCTTGCATTGTAACCACGATTCCTAACTTCGTCCTAACTGACGGGCTGTCAGCACAGTCAACGAAAAGGTTTTTTAATAAAGACACATCTGTTGCTGCGATTACCCATATTTACGTTATTTCATTCATTGCCAGAAAGAAAAACGTCAATTATTCGATCGATCAATTGATAATTTTTTTTTCGTTTTTGCACGTGACACCATACGCAGAGATATCGGAGAACGCTTGCGGGGACACCATCACGGCGGACGAGGGAAACGTGACGAGCCCTGGCTACCCGTTCGAGTACCCGGACAACAGCAGCTGCTGGTCGCTGATCAACGTCGAGCCCGGTCGGGTCATCGTCATGAGATTCAAGGTCATCGCACTGGAATTCGACGAGACGTGCGCCTTCGACTACGTCGAGATCTTTGACGGCCCCACCGAAGGTGCCTGTGGAACGCTGCTTCTGCGCGGTTATTGACTTGAAAAATTCTTGCGGACGGGTTGTCATCTAGAGGCAACTTTTCGATAAGTGGCCTCGACGACTTCTTCGAAGTTGCAACTTCGTGTTTCAGTGCATGTTTGTAAATGCTTCGTATCCTCTCCCCCAGTCTAAAAAAAGGAGGAAAGGGCACTTGAACTACTACAGTCGCCCTTTTTCTAGGTGGTGGTGATGATGTCGCCATAGGCAGGCTTATCCTGGCAGACCTGGCCGGCAGTTACTCCACCCATAGGTGCGAGTACGAGGGGGAAGCCCCCTCCCACTCCCCTCTTAATCATATAGGAGTGAGTAAGGGGGGGGGGGGCGAACCCTGCTCAGTACCTTTATTCAGTTATGATGACGCTGGTTTTGCACGGTAATGACGGCCGGAGGCTTCAGAATTCACATTCCAAGAACAATTACACTTCCGGTCTTGAATGCAGAAAAGGGACCAGAGGCATCATTTTGTGAAGCACATCGTGGCTACATTTTCAGTTTCTTTCATCCATTGTTAAGCATGTCGAGCTCGACTAATGCAAAGGAGAAAGGGCGCTGCAAAAATACTTTGCCCCCCCCCCCCCTCACCCCGACGAAATCCTATAGGCACCTATGGCTCCTCCACACTAGCGACCATTTTTATGCACTGTGTCTCACCATACTTCACTTAAATGATTTTTTTCGCAAAAGACGTAGAGCCATCTGTGCAGAAACCCTCTTTTTTTATGTTGTCCATTAACCGTCTTGAGACAGGTTAGTTGTACCCTATACTGATGAGTGGTCGTTGCTATAGTAATTCTGTGCAGTACTAGAGCAACCACAGTTGGGGACACTTGCTTCACGTGCTTGGTCGAGAGTCCAGTCGTGCGAAGCTAGATATCCGCAGAATTACGACTGAACGCCCCCAAGTCCGAATCTCGTCAAAGCGCCGCAGCGATATCGTGTTCACTTGCGGCGAATGCAGGTAACATTATCGCCGAGTCGAGCGCGGCGGGCAGCCGCCCTTTCCGACTCGATGACGCCAAATAAACCCAGAGAGCGTCACATCTATCTCCCTCTCGGAGCAAGAGTGATTCCGGGACCAGACGAAGTTGCCCGTAACCCCGATTTCATTGCGCTCGGGACATATGGACAAGGAGTGCCGAATGCCTCAAACAACCATGCAGTAATGTAGGCCGATTGCGTTCTTGCTCAACCCTATATGGCAGGGGCGTAGCCAGGGAGTGGCACAACGGGAACGTGCCCCCCCCTCCCCCCCCATTTGCCACCAGAAATTTTCTTTCGCAATGGCATAGAGGGCGAGAAATGGCTATCTTAAGGGGGGTGCTCCTCCCGAAATCAATGTGGTGCCCTCCCTCCCCCACCTCCGAAAATTATTTATGGCTACGCGCCTGCTATATGGACCTTTCCTACTCTTGCTGAGTCCCTTAATTTTTATAGCACCTTCCACCTTAAGACAAAATTAAATAGCAAAACACAACAAAAGCGCATTATGGAAACTCCATAAAAAGGCTATCGAAGTGCCCAATGACAAGTGTAATAAGAAAAGTCGGAGCTAGGTCGACATGTTGACGCGTCTTGTTTGTGCATTACATTTTGTTGTGGACCTCGCGTATGATCTGTGACGCAATCGTTAAAAGACCTAGCCTTCTTAATGACTAGTCTAATGAGTTCCTCAATGACATGTATGCTAGAACCCCTGAGCGTAAGAATGAGCGTAAGAATGTAAAATGTACTGTGTACCCTGAGGGTAAAATAAATAAATAAATAAATAAATAAATAAATAAATAAATAAATAATTAACGATCGTAACTATACATTGTTTTCGCTCTTTACAGACTCCCCTTCGTTCGGCCGCTTCTGCGGGGACTCCCAGAAGCGGATCCTGCGCTCGACCAGCAGCAGCGTGCTGGTGCACTTCAAGTCGGACGACCTTCTCAGCAATCGGGGCTTCCTGCTTCAGTACGAAAGCAACAGCGGCGGCATCAAGGTCAGCCACGACGGAGGTAAGCGATGCCTGGACAGATGACCACCGCCGACTGCGACTACGATCGTACCGTTTCCGGCGTTTCTATTTTCTGTTTATCTATTTTGTTTGGTCTCGTTGAGATGCTTGTAAGGCATAAGGAACGACACGCAGAGACAATCAAAAGAACGACTCCAGCGAAGCAATATTAATGCGACAGTATTTTTCCATTTCGACGCCGTAGAGAGAGAGAGAGAGAGAGAGAAAGAGAGAGAAGTACTTTTACATAGCGACTCCGGAGGCGCTTCCTATAAATCAATCGTATAAGGCCGGTACGTTCCAACTTCACATCGGAAGGTGATGAAGGCACTGTTGAAGGCACTGGCAACTAGCGACAGCGCAGTGCCGGAGCTAATCGCGGAACGAAAATTTCGGAACTAATCTTGGAATGAAAAATTATGCTTGCAGAATATCCATGCGTTTTTTTTTTAAAATAAACCACTGCAGGTTTAACCACTATCTAGCTTTCCATTGCACCGCGAAAAACTGGGTAAAGAAAAAGCGGTTGTCAGTCTCTTTGAGGCAGTATCATTGCATACACAAATAAGCTCAGAAGTCGGACCATTCAGTAAGGACTTGTATGAGTTGAGCAGCAGATCGGCTGCAATATATATATTCTAGGGCTCGAAAACTGAAGCGAAAGTGCTACTGACCATGTGTACGGCGCAGCAATTAATTTTTTTCCCGTAATTACGATAGATTCGGCCACGCTCAGGAAGATAATACGTGCTCGCTTGAATTCCGGCAAGCATAAACGGCCTTGAATACTGGGGACTTCCCCGAGGAGCACTTGTTGCCCAACGGCTCCTACAGTTACTCTGAATTTTCCGGTTGCGCTGCAGCTTATTAACCACGTGTGGCGCGGAAACAGTTGTAGCGCAGAAGAAAAAGGACAAATATGTTTTCGAGTTTCAGAAACTTCGAGGTAACGTTAGAGCTTAGAGGGGAACTCTGGAGTTTCATTAACCATATCATGATGGTTTTCGAGAGGTAAAGTAGTGCAATTTGGGCAGAAGATAGCAAACAATATGAAATAATTCTACAAAATTGCGGCGAAACTATAACCAACATGAGTAGAGAAACTTCGAGCGACGTCTTCGTGGAACATTGATAGGAGGTCTATCTGAACATTATTACTCCGAGAATTCCGTTCGTAGCACTTGATACTTGATACTGATCTACTTGTGCTATTCGAACCTTAGTGCTTGATGATTCCTTCTTTGACATGCTCGTATATCACCGATTACATTCAATATATTACCCCTCCACACATTTGGAAAGCCAGCGCGAACACGACAGAGACACATAGCTCGTTAGTGCATAATAATCTTCCTCGGCCATCGTGTCAATGCTGTTTAACTCGAGTGATCGGTGCTCTATTTGGCCCCTTTTAATCTCGTACCTACAAATGTGGGGCATCACAGCCTGCAATTCAATAGGGAAACTTTTATTCAGAGAGATGACACTCGAGATATCTTTATCAAGAACTTGCCGGGAAATAGTTTGCGGGAGGGAGGTAGTGGCACCTTCCCGTCTCTTCCGACACTCCCGCCTCTGATATATAAACAGTGAGGTGGTGTATGAACACTAGTGCGTCGAATGACGTGCGAGTGGATGCAAGTATAGATGTGAGCCCACACAAGGCTGATAGTAATGCTAACTTTGTGCAATAAGTACTATAGGTCGGCAAAAAATAAATAAACAGTGGATCTCACCCGGACTCCCAGAAATACGTTTTGCCTTTGGGACTAATTCTCACTCACTCATTAAAATTTTCTTCAACGAGACACATTCGCCCTTAGACTCGCTAAAATATTTCTTTTCCGGAATCTCTCAGACTGAAACTCACCAAAGAGAGAGAGAGAGAGAGAGAGAGAGAGAGAGAGAGAGAGAGAGAGAGAGAGAGAGAGAGAGAAGGAATGTAGGAAAGGTAGGGAGGTTAACTAGACTATGCATTCAGTTTGCTACCCTACACATGGGGAGGGGGAAAGGGGAGTAAAAAAAGAGAGAAGGCAAGGTTAACCACTCGGGCTCACTCAGACTCAGACTCACGGCTCGATTTGAGCCAGAGTCTGGAGAGTCGACTCATTGGTGAGTTTGGCGACCTATGGCTCAGACCAGCTCTGCTTGAACGTGTGGACTCTAACAACCAACTGACGAAGAGTTGTGACGCTAATGTATACTTCGATGCCCTGCGCAGGTTGCGCCGTCGCGTCCGACGCGGAGAACGGCACCGTGGCCACGCCCAACTACCCGAACAGGTACCCGGCCTCGGCCCACTGCCTGCTCGATTTGGAAGCTCCGCGGGAAGCCAAGGTGGCGCTGCGGTTCGTCGACTTCTCGCTCGAACCGGACGAGAACTGCACCTTCGACTTCGTCGAGATCTGGGACGGGTACCAGGACGGTACGTGCAGAGGCAACCATAGCAGTTACTGATGACGCCGCTACGAAGTGATGCCTGGAATGAACTCGTGGATCGGGCTAGTTGGTGCACATCCATCTTTGTAGGAAGCGCTCGTCTGATGCCTTGTTTCTTGCCGTTCCTGCGTAGCTTAATTTTGCGCGTCTACGCAGATTGATGCCCTAAAGCGTCACGGCTTCAGCCATTTCCAGAAGCTGATTCTAACCTTTACCTGCCACTCTACGATCTTCTTTTGCTCTTCAGAGGGGCCCCGCAACACTTCCCCTTTGATTGATTGATTGGTATGTGGGGTTTAACGTCCCAAAACCACCATGTGATTATGAGAGACGCTGTAGTGGGGGGTTCTGGAGATTTCGACCATGGTGGGGTTCTTTAACGTGCACCCGAATCTGGACACACGGGCCTACAACATTTCCGCCTCCATCGGAAATGCAGTCGCCGCAGTCGGAATTCGACCCCGAGACCTGCGGGTCAACACTTCCCCTTTTACCATTTACCATTTACTGGCATCTTTAATTGAGTTTATTGCCCCACGAATAGACAACCACAATTTTTTTTTGAATCCGTCGTGTGTGAGAGGAGTTACAGATAGTTATTCCACACTGCAATTGCTTTCTCGCTTCTATCGACTCGACGAACGTGTTGGAAGCTAAGCAGAGAAAGGTCACACGAAAGAAAGAATTTACGTCACGCGTACGTCGTGACTTCTAGCACTACTTTTTTTTGTCATCTGCGAATGCGAGACTTAGCCACAGAAGCAAAATATTACACGTGATTTGCCTTCTGCACTGCTTCACCATGTAGACGCCCGTCCGTTTTCCCTGTCTCACATGAATGTCGTACGTGTTCAACTGATTGCACTTCACTGTGTGCGTTAACGACTGCGCAAGCGGCGCAAAGGCGAGCGCTTTGTGCTGAAATTGTTCGCGTGTTTTCTTTCAAGAAATAAGTGGCGAGGAAGATGCATCGCGAGTGCGAAGGTGAGCGAAGGAGAGGGGTAACCACTCTCTCGTCTTTTGAACGCGGAGTCCATTCGAGGCACGTGCGGTGAACTTTGGAGTTGTGAAACAGTAATTTAACGATAATTGAAAAAAATGCCTTTTACTTTAGGGCCCCTTCAACTAACGCTATCGCAGACAAAAAAAAAAAAGACTAGCCTTTACGCTTTATCGTAATTCCTTACGGTCTGTCGTACTTGTTCGAATATCACTTTGACTTGGGCGAGTTGGGACATCCTCGGATAGGTTTAGCGTGATTTGGACGAAGAAAGAAGACACAAAGAACAGTTCTGCGTGTTTCCTGTCTTCGTATAAATCGCGCTAGACTTATCCAATACTGTCGTACTTGGTTCATAGCAGTTGCTATTAGGCCCTCGATAAAAAGGTTTGGCTTAGAAGGATCTCCATTTCTCTTATTTACATACGTCTACATACGAAAACGTGTAACACGTTCAAACTTGACTACTAGGGTCACCTCCTAAAAGGTCAACAGCTACTATCACCATAGGCCGACAAACGCTGCGTTACTTTCTGTTCACGTAGATGTATACGTTTAAGGAAATGTATGCAAATGATGCCGAAAGTTGCTGAATGCGGATCCTGACAAACGGGCACGAACTAGGAGTGCTTGCTCGCCCCTTCAGCCCCAAACGCTACGGCAGTACGCAAACGCAAATTGTTTTTTCCACACCGAGTACATGCGTATTCGTTAGGGGGATTTCCCCCATAAGACTCGGTAATGTTGCTGCGACTGCATCTTGGCAATGGTGTCGCTCGAGAAGGCTAGTTAGCTGGGACTTGTCCCGCATCGTATGCGTATAAAGAAAATCAAACTCGTTTATATCGTTTGCCACTGTCAGCTATATATATATATAAAACTTAAACTTTCCGTGCGCTACACAGGGAAGGTCGAGTTGCCACGTGCCACACCATCTGCACAGGCAGTTGCCATGCGATTTTTATTTCTTAATTCTTTGTTCACATCTCTCGGTGAGTTGAACAATGAGCACACATAAACCTATTTTTCTCTCCTGTATGGCTGCGATACAAGGACACAATGAAGGCTTCCATTTGTCCCTATTACGTCGTGTCGCGCGCTTAATATTCTTCCTTTTTAGGGGCCGTCCACAAAGCCACTTTCTTTTTCTTTCTTTTTCTTTTGCTCAGTAGCCATTGCTTCGCGCCAGCCTTATTGGGTGGGTGCTCTGCCCTTTTATATTGAATTGTCGCCGGCACGGGGCCTACCCAAGCGCGGAAACACCTTTCGGTAGCCTCTTGTCCTATCACCCTTTCTCTCTCTCTCTCTCTCTCTCTCTCTCTCTCTCTCTCTCTTTGCACGCATACACGCTCCTTCAAAACACGCATTTGTAACTTCTTCCTCTCCCTCTTTCCTCCGTCGGTCCTTCCTTTTCACACTCAGAACGCACGGCCTCCTTTGAACACCTTTTAATAGATGCCCTTCTCTTTTAAACACACACACACACACACACACACACACACACACACACACACACACACACACACACACACACACACACACACAAAAAAAAAAAAAAAAACGCGCGCGCGCGTCTTTTGTTAGTTTTTGTTTCTCTGCTCCCCCATTTTCTCTGGCTTTCGCGCACAAACCCACACATCCTCAAAACACCTTTTCATGTGTGCTCGCCCACTCTTTCTTTTATCTTCTATTTATCACGCACTCTCTCGAAGCACCTTTTAATACCTTTCTCCCCCCTCACTTTCTTTTCTCTTTCACACACTCATCACCTATTCGAAATGTCTTTTGGGAGCTACTGTCTCACTCTCACCCAGTTTACTTCCCCCTCTCTCACTATCTGTTCAGGCCACCGGTCACGCAACGGTCGTGTTTTTTCCCGCATCGTTCGTAAATGCGCAACTGGTCCCCACGTGCGCACTTCTTCGGCTGCTGGTAGCGGGTTTGCTAACGTTTTTTTTTTCCTTACTGAAGACGCCATCGGCGTGGAGGTCTTCACTGTAACGAGCCTGCCGTGATCTAGTCGTCTTAAACTTTGTTTTGTTGCTGCGAGAGTACTTACCTCGTCTTTCTGGAAAGTCCTGACAAAGACCAACGTCCTGCGCCTGCCGTCCGGCTTTTTCATATCGAAGGGCTTGTTGTGATACATGATCGCACGTCGTCACAGTTCAGCGCATGTTAGCAGCTTTAGCCAACTCGTTCGCAAGTGCTTCTTTACTTATGAATGCATTTACAGTACATACAAGCGTTCACCCTTTACAAACGGCGTCTGTTTAATAAATCTCACTGGTACACATGCGCGCACGTCAGTAGGAGTCGCCCCGCCGCGGTGGTCTGGTGGCTAAGATACTCGGCTGCTGACCCGCATGTCGCGGGCTCGAATCCCGGCTGCGGCGGCTGCATTATCAATGGAGGCGATATTGTTGTAGGCTCGTGTGCTCAAGTTTGGGTGCACGTTAAAGAACCCCAGCTGGTCGAAATTTCCGGAGCCCTCCACTACGGCGTCTCTCATAATTATATGGTGGTTTTGAAAGTTAAACCCCACATGTCAATCAATTTCAGTGCAAGTCGACATTGTCTGGACGGTAAATAGGTGGCGAGTCCTGCAGTGAATCCTGCAGGATTGAGTAGTTCACGGTAGCTTACGAATTCTAAAAGGAAAGCATCGCTTACATGTAAGAAAATACATAATTTATTAAGATAACTGCTACTGCGTTTCCACTCTTCTCGTATTAAGCATTCCGTTTAAGGCCATCGTTTGGCATCGCGAAATTCGTGAACGTATTCTGGTCTGCGTACGCAGTTCAGGCTATAAGTGTCACACCCTTAGGCTATTAAGTAGTCGGATTGTTTCACATTTGTTACAGAGACAAAGTTTAGGGTCATAGCGTGGTCAACACAAAATGATGGCAAGCTTACGCCTCCATTCGCAATAACCATGAAGGTGGCGTCTCGAGTGCTGGTGTGACTGAACTTGATCGTGTTAGCAGTTTCCAAACGAATGATCGAAGCACGTTCGGTAATCCTCTTCGAAAAAGTTCTGCATGAAACAGAACTCGTGGGTTGAAACGGTGGACTTGTGTATCGACTAGAGAGGCCCAAACACCTACCTATAGGTCTACAGCAACATAAAATAAAATCCCTAGTACAAACCAAAAGCACACGCATACATTTTAATCGAATAAGTGCTACGCATACTGCGACAGTCTCTGGAAAATAAATTGGTGGTCCTTTTTTGATGTCCCGTTATTATTGCAGGATGGAAATCCCTGGGACGACTGTGCGGGGACAGGGGTGAGAAGAAGGAACTGGTCACCTCTCAGAACCGCATGAGACTCAAGTTCTACAGCGACAACTTCTCCGAGTTCCGTGGCTTCTTCGCAAACTTTTATCTCGTCTCTACGACCGGTAAGTTAACAAGAAAATCAATGCACACTTTCTAAATTCCAAGGTGTGTTCGGCGAAAACATGCTATGCCTTCCACACTAACTCGACCGCTTCAACGAGTTGTGTGACGAAGGAGCGTTGCTGCGCGTGCCGCTGTGTCATCGCGTGATTGCCGAGAGAGTGTGAAGGGGAGAGGCTGCATCCGGCACCGTTACAGGGCACGGACGGACGGACGGATGATCGGGCGCCGCGAGGACGAGGCATTAAGATGCTTTCGCCTTAATGTACTTGGAGATGTAAACGATGAAAGGCACGGACTTGCTTGTTTCCGAAAGTAGTGTTAATTTGAAGTATGTACGCGACATGCAAACAATCAAATCAAGCAATACTCCATGCTGTTGTCTTGTTTATAATAAATATAATCAGGGCACCGTGAGTAAGCACAAGACTGCTAGACCATACCTGTACAACAAACCACCGTGAAAAGTTAAGGTTTTGCACTGAAGGAATCATTACCAGGAAGTGGGGACATATGGACGTGGCGCCATCTTTCAGTGACAGGAACAGCAGCAGCCCGCCATAACTGAATGGGAAATAGATGAAAAAAAAAATCACCTCGCTTAAAAAAGCCAGTTATCAAAAACAACTTCGGGTTGTACGTACCAAAGACCCACTGGTTCATTTCGGTCAAATTGTAGTGTTGTCCTACGAAGCGTGTGGCCGCCCAGGACGATTGAACACCAATAGAAACAGATGGGACCCCATTATTAAATATGAAACGCTTTGGGAAGCCACGTGGTGTGTAGTCTAACACTGTAACTCTGACAAAGTGTTCAATTAAGTATCCGCTATATAGACGCGGGAGTCGTTGTTGATAACTAGCTTTTCTCGTATGATTTCTTTCGCCTATTTCCCATTCAGTTACACAAGGTCACCGCTGTGGCCGACGAGAGATGGCGCAACATGCAGATGTCACCTAGATTTACTGTATATGCTACCTTTAGGTAGCTAAAGGTAGCATATACAGTAACTCTAATGTCACCAAATCCTGGTCATGACATCTAACTAATCTTTCATTATCCACGTTTCTTTTTCTTATCTGGAAATCATTAGTGCGAGGATTGTGAAGTGTATTCTTTGGCAAACATGAGCAAACTGTACAGATTAAAAAAAACAACAAAAAACAGCGGAATATTCACAAGCAAGGCGCCATGTATTGGCCAATTCGTAGTTAGAAACCATGACAGCACGTATGTAGTTAACAAACTGCCGCCGTATTCCACAGTTGAGATATCACAGACGTTTACGATATGCAGGTAAACCGGAAGTGGAAGAAGCCAAGACGGTGATAATGCGCAAGAACTCCCTGGTTCCGGCCCGGGAGCTGATCGAGGAAATATCGCCCGACGAGACGGTGGCAGGAGACGACCAGAGGATACTGAAATGCATACCCAAAGTTCCTGGATCCAAGGTCAAGTGGTAAGCATCGTTCTTGGCGAAGTGCCAGGCGTCGAGTTCGAAACGTTTCGATAGCTTGGAAGTGAACCAATTTACGAAGTACTATTTCCCAGTGGGGGGACGACAGAGGCAGGCAAAAGCTACAGCGCCGATTCACCCCCCTTCAATGTACAGTGGTGGACAATGCGAAAGATATCAAGTCATTTTAAGTCATGGTTACTGGTGAAGTCCGGATTAGAGTCGGACGCACTGCCTTGCCAGAGGTATTGCTCATCTTGAGCACCAAGTTGTACGGACCCTTCTCTGCTCGATTACTGCGCTTTTATACCGTTGTTTTTTAAATGTAACTTCAGTGTTCTAAAATTGCTGGTCTGGCAATTCGGTCTGGCATGCGCTCTTAAAAAAACTCGTCACTTAAAATGTTATGAATTTGCGCCAACTAAACGTGTTTCTCTCTCCTAAACTGAGTAATTATTTTGAGAAAAGAACTTTCTCGCGCATACAAGTCCCACATTGTGTCATTTTTTTATTGTGACGCTGGGAAATTGTTCCACGCGAACGAATACGATGTGGTTTTCTGGTTCTCTGACGATAATAAAACTCACGCTGCGCGTTCACCGTCATAACTAAGCCTCGAAAACTGCCCCGGCGCAGCCGATGACTGGTGCTTCTTGGCTTGAGCCAGTTTAGACCGTGGCACAGCAAGCATTAGTTCGACCTGGCCAGACCACTGGTCTTATATGACTGGTTGTGCAACTAGTAGAATTGCCTGGAAGTTTTTCAGATCGAATGCAATATACGCTGCGTTTAGTGCTCGAGGAAAAAGGCAACAATGCACATTGCTAACACGGACCTGTACTCTTGTCGATTACCACCGCTTGCCTCAGGGTAAAGAACGAGACGGTGCTGAACGGAACCATGCCCCTGCCACACCTGTACCTGGTGTCCCCGAGCACGCTTTGGATCCGGCGCATGCACTCGGACCTGGCGGGCAGCTACACATGCCTGGTCAGCACCGGGGACCGGGAAGCCATGGCCTCCACCCTCGTCGTCATGGCCGGAACGAAGCCACGCAGCAAATGCAACGTCTGTGAGTATTCGTTCATCCAGACCGTCTATTGGGCTTAGTAGCCACTTTTCGCACGTGCCCCGGAAAGCGACGTCCAATGACTGCTGATGGACACGTACGGTCCAATGACCACATCTGCATCAGTTACGACGGGTAGCGTGTCTCCAACTTAGTGCCCCCCCTCCCCCCCCCTAATCCACGAAATGGAAAGAATCCAGATGTCCGCCTCGGTGGAACAGTGGCTACTGTGCTCGGCTGCAGATCAGAAGGTCGCGGATTCGATCCCGGACATAATGGTCACGTTTCGATGGAGGCGAAATGGTAGAAGCCCGTGTACTGTGCCATGTTGGTGCACGTTAAAGACCACCAGGTGACAAAAAAAAATTTCGGACTCCTGCGCTACGGAAGCCTTCATAATCATCTCTTGGTTTTGGGACGTAAAACTTCAGACACTCTTATATTATTAAAAATCCACATCCTCGATCCCCTTCCTGGACAGCGAACCTTAAGCAGCTTTCATTAGAGACAGCGTTTTCTTTTTTCGTGATGTGTAGCCCACTGCTGTAACGAACCACGCATAAATATGCTCCCAAATGTTCATCCGAACTGACTTACCCGGGTTTCGCCCAAAGCACGCTCTTAATTCGAGTACCGCAAGACACTGCGCCCCCCGCCCCACTCTTCACCCGGCTCTTTTTCGAGGACATTAATAAGAGCTCAACACAGCTACGCCACACACGACTTCCACAGTCGAAAGCGAACAGTAACGGTGTAGCGTATACCTACGGCTCATCAATGTTGGCGAAGGAACTTCGTATGCATGTTACACGTCTGGTGACTAAAATGTATGGCAGAAAAAAGTATACAGGAATGTCACGGACCGCTGCATGGGTTACACTTGCCTATATACTGAATGAATACAATATGCAAGGACGACAAGGCTTAGTTTTCTGTAGGGTGCTATGTGCATACATATACTGCGAAATATATTGTATGGGCACGATTTCAGGCGTTATATATTTCTGTGCACACGGATTGAATGGAGCTCGACAGTTGGCACACCATCGCCAATCAGGACAAGTTCCTTCAAGTACTGTGTTATTCGTGCATACTGACATCTATTAGTGCACTATAAACGAATGCTGGCACCCCTGGCATGGGCACTCAACATCCTTGTGCACCCTTCTGGCACCCTCCTCAATGGGTGTTAAAAAGTGAAGGACGTTGAAGCCACCCTTTTTTTAGAGTGTTTCTGTAACACCCTACAGTTTTTTACATGCACACTCTGTTCTAAGGGTGCATGTCAAAGCAGCCTTTTTGGAAGGTGCTGAATTAACACCCTTAGTGTGTTGTCCATGGGGCAAGCTCATTGACACCCTTTTGGGTGCAAAAATTTTTACTGTGCTATAGCTCGCAAGTTTCAGCGCCCTTATCTCCGTCTGGGCTGTTTTCCTAATGTCGGTGTACGTGAATTCACCGAAAATTGGCAGTGCCCGTAGTTAATCTATAGGAATAGTCGCGGGAAAAACGTATGCACTGACTAGATACCCATTGAAATATATTGATGTTCTCAGTCACTGCCTCCCTTCTCGTCTTGTTTGGAGGTTTTTTGCACCTGATTCAGCACCGCACTATCTTGTGGATCGGTCAACCTCTGAACAAGCGACGATGTCACCTGATGGCATCCTCAGATGACATCAACGCCTGGCTATGACATTCAAAGTCATTCGTCTTTTTGACGCGAAACTAAAAAAAAAACATGTAGGGTTTTCGCCTCATGTGTTGCTCTTGTTTCTGTTGATCGACGTCATTATCGCGTTTGTTCCAAAAACACCCACAGTCTTCCGGAAGAGTCCCAAGGACCAGGAGATACCCCACGGTGAGACGGCCATCATGCACTGCACGGCGCAGGCGCCGCAGCGACCTTCCTCTGACGTCACGATCAGCTGGCTGCGAAACGGGCTGCCGTTCCCCACTGGCAACCGGTACCGGGACCTCGGCAACGGGCTGGTCTACATCAGCGACGCCATGCCCAAGGATTCCGCTGTGTACACCTGCGTGGCCACCGACCGACGCAGCAACTGCACCGTCCAGGAGTCGGCCGTGCTCAGGGTGCTGCCCAGGGTCAACATCGAAGAAAGTGAGTCGCGTGACGCGGCCACCTTTCGGCCGTGATGTGTTGTTGAAATTTCAAAGAGAAAGTGATAGAGAGAGAGAGAGCGGGAGAGAGAGAGAGAGTACAGGAAATCCAAGGAGGATAAGTAAGTTTTGTGCAGCTAAATACCCAACACGCGGGGATGGGAACGAGTGGTTAAAAGAGAGAGATAGGTAGCGCGAGTGCAGAAGATTCACAATAACGCCACATCGTGGCGTATACCTGGTAGTACAGTGCTTAGCGATCTTGAAGCACTAGAATATGCACAAATACACGGCGAGACCTTAGACAGAGTTGGTGTTTGTATTAAAATTTGGTATCTCTAGACTTTAGGTAGGTGTCGCGAAATTTGGCGGCAGTGGGACCACGTAAAACACGTTTCTCGTGGTGGCACAGAAAAAAAAAAAAAAAAAAAACGTGAGGGAAAAGATGAAAAAAAAATCACCAGATCAAGCTACATTGCGTTGGAGGTATCTATACTCCGGTTCATACATCAGGTGCAACGCTGTGAAGGCTAGGCAAGTAGTCCGTAAAGAAAACACGAGGTGTTGCTCCGCGCGGTTTCGTAGCCGAGTGGTCTGACGCGTCGCTCCGGAGAGTTCACCGTAGTTTTGAAGTGCATGGGTTCGAATCCACGGGGTGCCATTTTTTTTAATAATTTTTGCGAGTTCAATTCGAAATATTGTTTTTTTTTCAGTAACTTCAACTTACTTGCACGCGGAAGTGAACTGCACGTATCTATTCATTTGTAGCATACCGTGTTCCCTTGTGAGGGCCGGAACCTGCTGAGCTGGCACCGAGGTTTGACCAGCATGGCGATTTTGTCGCGATTATACCGCATTGTCGGTTTACCTCGTTGATGTGAGCGAGTACTGCGTGTACTGCGAGTACTACGCCATTTTTTCGAAGCTGCCACAACAAGTAAAAAAAAAAAAACGGCGGCGCGGGTCGCGCGGAGAGCGAAAGCCTGATACGAAAGCGACAAACATAAATTACCAACTCGCATATTTGGATTGTTTATCCGACAACACAGGCGTTTGTTTTTTAACCTGATGACAAATATGTATGCTTAGAAGTTTCCCGAGAAGCATTTAATGATTCTCGTACACCCCAAGCGACGCACTACTTTTTGGTCGCGGCAGTACACAGCGCAAACAAGAGCGCTAGCTTTGACAGCGTTGCACATGATGTATGAAACGGAGTATAATGCTGATCGTGCCCCCTTTGTTCATCCACTTTGCAGATTAAAAAACTGAAGATTTATTTTAGCTTGCATTGAAGGTAGCCCGAAACTTTATCATGGACGAATAGAAAGAGGATGCCGCAAGTTCCCTCTGTCTGCCCATGGTACTTTGCCACTGCATACAACAATGTATTAGTATCAACTTGCCAAATCAAATTGTTTGTGGCATCTGGCCTTGCTATATATTACCTTCATTATTCTCATGATCTTCATAAAGAAAGTATTGGGAGCGCAAACTAACGGGACACAAGAGAGGAGACAAACAAGCGCCCCTCTTGTGTCCCGTTAGTTTTCTCTCGCAATTCTTTTAATTATGAATATAAACCGACTAGCCCGCCCATCAACCCTTCTACAATTCTTCCCCTTCTTTGCACGCACGAAGTACACATGAGAGCGCGACGTTGTGACACCGAACGGAGAACACTGGCTGCTATAGCACAATAAAGGGTGCGGTTTTGCGCACGCGAGCAATAGCGACGCAGTTCGCTGGTCTGCTCTTCCAAGTGTTGAATGTAGGACTCAAAATGAAGCTCGCACTGTTCTCGGACACTTGATAGAATTCGCTATAGACTATATGTGGTCCACTGATAAGCCCCACCGAATCCACCGATTACACATTGAACCATCGTGTGCTACTTTGCTTAAGAGTGATGATACATTTTTTTCGGTCACATTAAGGATTCGGGCTTCGATTACTCCTTAGATACATTTGTGGCTCACACGTTGTCCAGCCCCCCAATACTACTGAGCGTGCTTCCATACTTGGGAGATATGGCCTATAGTTATCGCATAAAAAAACTCATGTTTGCCATACGTTTCCCATTTCTCTGCGTATTAAACTAGCGGCTATTTTTTTGGTATACTAGGATTTTGAGGTATTTAGGTTATGGGCATCGTTCTTTGTTTTTGTCGTTTTTATATACGGCACTCTGAAATGGCCAAGCTCTTTTAAAATCAGTTTTTTTGTGTGCCTATTTTTATGAAGAACAGCATAAATATAAATTATTTCAACGTGTTAGTGTTTTTGCGTCTGTATATACAGTTAGACTCTTTAACGGCTTGCAAGTATCGAACAACCGCACAGCTCAGTGGTAGCGATAAAAAAAAACAACAAAAGACTGAAGCACGGTGTCAAGGAAAAGCTTTGTACCATTTTTTTTTCTTCAGTTTGTGGAATACCGTTCGTGGGACGTCCCAACATGACGAAGCCGCATGTCGAACACGGAAAAATCGTCGGTGGAATGGACTCCATCAAGGGGGCCTACCCGTGGCAGGTGAGCTCGATGACGTGCTTTGCTTACTCAACTGCAACTAGAACCATTGTTACTATAGCACTCCCACTTGCCTTTCTGTGTGTCCATTGTGCATGTGCGGTTGCCTTTGCCCACTGTCCCCCACTCGTGACAAATCAAAAGGCGGGGGAGGATGTGGGAAGGGAGATAACACCCCTGAGGCCCATGTACCAAAGTTTACGTGCACATCAAGGAACACCAGATGGTCGAAATTTGTGGAGCACTCCACTACCGCGTTCCTCATAATCATGCAGCGGTATTGGGACGTAAAGACCCACAGTTAGTTCAATTGTAGATAAAGACTGAACACTGCAAGTCAGAGGCGTTGTTGCCTTTCGTTCCTGTGAGTGGTGGTGCCATAGCGCCACAGTATGTCTGTAGGGGAGCCCTACATAGCCAAGCAGCATGCCGTCTACTGTCCAATGACGTTCACTTGGGCTGCACTCGCGGGGAGTGACAAAGCGTCTCCCGTTATGCTCGTGCAGGTTATGTTCTGGACGGACCTGCGCAAGGCCTTCTGCGGCGGTAGCCTGGTGAACGACCAGTGGGTGCTCACGGCTTCGCACTGCTTCAAGCGCGACGAGATCCGCATCGACGAAGTGGAAGTGCGGCTGGGAAAGTACGACCAGACCGTCGTCGAGCCTCAGCAGATGGTCACAAAGATTGCCGACGTGCACTTTCACCCGTAAGTATACATATGCAGGCAGGAAACGTACGACTGCGTGCGTGCGAAGGCTGCATTCGTAAAGAGCGATATTCAAACCTCCCTAAAACGCATGGTTACGCCTTATTATGCTCTGAAGAGAGTTACGCTTGTATAACATGTTTTTAAATGCAAGACACCTGTTGCTGAAGGGTCCAGACCTGTATTGTCAAAATATTCTAGCGTGCAAGGACTATTCGCAAGAATAAACTCCACCTAGTCCAGCAGTTCATCATATTAGCGAAGGCGGTGACCAGAACGAAATGTCACTTACGAAAATAAATGTTCGTGTGAATTTCCGCTCTATAGGCTCTATAAACTCCTATCGAGCCTAAGCAACGAATATGCACGTAGATGACATCCACTGCAATTTGTCGCATTGAATTTGCATAAAAAAGTCACAGTTTCGCCGCAAGGACGAAACGACGAATGCGACAGCGACAACTTGGAATACCACGCTCGGAACGGCAAGAAGATCGAAACGTGCAGCGCGCTGCTCACTCCCAAACGACGCACGAAAAGAACACACACAGGACGAGAGCGAACTAACAACGTTTACCGCTCGACACGTAACGCACTGTTTAAACAAAAATGACGCACGAAACGTAATCACGGGTACAGATGAAGGAAAACTTACCAAGTGTCCCAGTTGTTATACTTCGCTGTGTATGAAGAGCGTGCTCTTTTCGCAGACGGGGCATGTGCAGCGAGCGAAGTGACCTTTGTGGGTACGGCAACTAACGCAATCATTCCAGTGAAAGCCGAAGGCACACGATTTTCCCACCACAGGAGTAAGCGCGCGCGCGCAAACATCTAATCTCCCCTTCCACCCCCCTCGCATCCGCGGGGCAAAGTACGCGTGAGAGATAAGCGCGCGGTCGGCGCATCATCGCGACGAGCTGGGCGCCGAGCGTAGATGACTTTTTTTTTTTCATCAGAACATTATACCTGTGTCACACGGGCGCGCAAAAAGTCTTTTAAGTAAGCGGTCTTTTACGAAGTTGAAAGACTTTTAACAAACGGCGCAGACACACGGCAGCAACGATCTCCTTTTAGTGTTTTCGTTCGAAGACGCTAGCGAAAGCGTGGCGCTAGCAGTTAAAAGAGAAGTAATGAAAATTAAACGATTTATCACGATGTACGAATTAAAGACTCGTTGCACTACTCGTTTCTTCAAATAAATTTAAGAATAAGAGATGAAGAAACACTTGTGCAAAATGGCGCGGCGTGAAACCAAGCGTCACCACGTGATATTGCCGACGCGTTGTAGCTGCTTACGAGAGTAGAAAAGGAAATAACCATTAAAATAGTTCATTACACCTTCTGCAGGGTATGAAATTTGTTTTTGCAAAGAGTTTTGGTGACAGAAAAATAAGCATTCGCTCTTTTTTTCCCCACCACTCGAAAATTGCTGGCGCCCACTGGTTCGAGGCTACTCATTCGGAGCCGTAAAAGAGATCGACGAACTCCGTTTACGAAAAAGACCGCTTCTGAAAAGGAAGTTCGCTCTGTGCCGGGTGTCTGCTGTCAGGAACTCCTTTTCGGAAAAAGACCGCTTACTTAAAAGACTTTTAAGTGCCCGTGTAACAGGGGTATGAGAGGCGATTCTGCCACTTTGTGAAGGCGTTCTAAACTTGCCGAACGTTGTTATTTTGAAGCCTACTGTCATTTTTCAAGAGATCATGCGGGCAGTGTGATAGCGCAAATTTTAATGTTCACGTTTCTCTTTCAATTATGACCACTTTATCGTCTGCTAAAGAAATGGAGCACGGAAGACCGCAAGTGTAATTTTGCAAAAAGAACAGTCTACATGTTATTAGGATTCACTGTGATATATTAGTGGGTCGGAGCGCTTAACTTGTGGTGATAAAGCGTATTCTAAAAAGGCAGACGTTCAGCTGAATGGCGAAGCTGGATGAGAAGAAAAAAAATTGTGTGCACGGGGTGGCTGGAGTCAACGATCCGACAGGTGGACCTGTATTATACTTTTTGTTGCCAGGAAGGTACACAGACCTATTCAAGTCGTTAGATGGCGTATGGTCTGCGTTCCTGTCATTTGCACTTTGCAAAGATGCAAAAAATAAGGGTTCAAGCTCCGAAGACAAGTCCGCTTGTCCAAACATTGGATGCAGTGACGTCCCAAGTTCATTTTTTTATATCTTCAAGCCTGTTCTCGGGGTCTGTACAAATAAAAACACCCCAGTTCACAACAACTATAGTTATTTTAAGTGAAGAAAATGCTCGAGCCATCTTCTTTTTATAAATTATTAAGGGATGTTAGTGCATTACTATGGCACCGGCTATTCGTACACCCTTAAGAAGGCGGGAGATTGAACACACAGTTTTCATTTCGACGTTAATAGAGCTGGTCTACAGAAACTCTCAATTCAAAGGGAGGTCTGAAACGCCACCAACCAACCGGACACCGTTTCCATGGCTACGCTCTCCTCGCAGGAACTTCAACGTCCACACGTTCGACAACGACATCGCACTGGTGCAGCTCACGGATCGAGTGACGTTCACCGACTTCATCCTGCCCGTGTGCCTGGGCGACAGCGCGTCCATCGAGCGCGACTTCTTCAGCTCGGGCGACGTGCAGCTCGGCACTGTCACCGGATGGGGACAGCTCACGGAGAGCGTCAACACGCTGCCGCGGTTCCTGCAGGAGATCCGGCTGCCCATCATCGACCACAAGACCTGCCAGGCGTCCACGCAGTACCCGGTAAGTACACCAACGCCACCTAGGCTGCCCTTCCTGTTCGAGCATAATGGATGACCCGTCAAATATGGCTACCCAATAGTGTTTGAATTCGTGGCTTCTATAGCGGCCAGCGCGTTCGGCAGTATACAGATGATTCGATTCACCCGTCACATAGTTGAGCAAAAACTTTTTTTTTGAATTTTTTCTCTCACTTCTTCGCATGCCCTTTTATTGACGTCACTTCCGTGACGGAAGCGACGTCAGTTGAAGCTGGAACCCTGTATAAAACGCCTTTTTTATTGTAAAATATAGACACTGGGGTTTTATGTACCAAAGCCACGCAAAAATCTTTTCACGAGGACTGCGGTAGTGTGGGACTGCGGAATAATTTTGACTACCTACATCTAAGTGTAATTTTAAATATAAATATGAGGGCACTGGTGTTTTCTTTGCATTTACTCATCATCGACAAAGGATCGAGGCACTGCCGGGAATCGAGCCAACGACCTCATGCGTTGCAAGTCTACGCCATCAACGATTGCTATGCGGTACTGGCCATGGTTTATTGGCGATATTTCAGGAAACATAGTAACGAGAAGGGAAGCCTCTTTTGAAGAGGGTGTGTAAGTGATGATGCAAGCAGTACAGTTAAAAAGAAAGAAACGCATCAGCTGACGTCCACCTTTATTGATTGATTTGTGGGGTTTAACGTCCCAAAACCACCATATGATTATGAGAGACGCCGTAGTGGAGGGCTCCGGAAATTTCCACCACCTGGGGTTCTTTAACGTGCACCCAAATCTGAGTACACGGGCCTACACCATTTCGGACGTCCACCTTTATTAGTGTAGGTAAAAGCAAAGAGAAAACTGAGCTATTTTATTTTGTGTTTTCGTAAGACATTACCGTTTGACCAATACGCCAGCTACCCCTATGTTCTGTCAAAGTGGAGTGTAAGAAGCAATGTTAAAGTTGGTTGGGATGCTCTAGAAACTGTTACCTGGTGCTGCTTATCCCTGACAGCTCAAATTGTGCGGACATATTGTAAACACGTAATCGAAAACGAACTTATCTATTTGGAAAATAATATCCCCGATCCGCGATACGGATAACATTTCATTACATGATAGCGAACACGAGCCTATTACTGATAATAGGTGTCCTTCAAGCTTCAATACATATTTTTCACCTATTTCTTGTAAATAAGATTACTCCACTATTCCTGAGGTTCATCCTGGCTTCGAGTATCAGTATATGGCACCCATTGAAATCTCCATCGACGGCTTTGTTACAATGGTGAATAATTTTAAGTTATCTAATTCTTGTGGCGTGGATGGAATTAACTCCAAAGTTCTAAATAACACCGTCAATACGTCGAGCTAAGCACTACATATCATCTTCAGGCTGTCACTCATTTCAGGAGAGCTCCCGTCTGATTAGAAGACTGCAAAAATAGTCCACAGAGTCAAAACCAGCGACCAAAACTCACCAGATGACTATAGACCGATCTCACTAACATGTATTTGCTGAAAAATGCTCGAGCACATCATTGCATTGCACATTTTTGATCGCCTAGAATCAAATAATGTTTTCCCCCAATGAACACGGGTTCAGGAGAGGTTTTTCATGTGAGATACAGCTTCCAGGATTTACAACGCATTTCGAGGTGGACGGTAACTTACAGACTGATAGTATCTTTCTTGATTTTTCGAAGGCATTCGACCGTGCAGCCCACTGCCACCCGATTTCAAAATTAGCTGCTCCTAAATTAAATTCACGTGGCTTCGGAATTTTTTTTTGTTTTAAATTGCCAGCAGTTTACAATAGTCACCAGTCTCCCGTCTTCCCTATAGATGTTAACTCCGGCGTACCACACGGTAGCGTTCTTGGGCCGCTACTATTCCAAATATATATCGATGACCTCCCTAATAACCTAGGCTCCCGTGTACGACTGTTCACACATTATGGCATTTTATACCGCCCTACATCCAGCCCCGAGGACCATCGCATTACACAGAACGACTTTCGGCCTATTTTCGATAGGTGTAAAACTTTGTTAATGACCCTCAATGTATCTGAATGCCAGGTAATGTATTTTAAACCAAAAAAGCTCAGATTCTAATTATCACATACATCTCGACCTGATTTCTCCTGCCACTACATACAGGTGCCTATTGCTTCACCTGACGTCAAACCTTTTCTGAAATGTTTACGTCACAATCATATGTGCTTATGCTTCAAAGTCACCGGGGTACTTACGTCGAACCCTGCGGAACTCTCCTTCCAACATTCGCAAGCTAGCCTTTTCAGACATTAGTTCACCAGCAGCTTGAATAAGTCTCTCCATTATGCTCGCCCCACCATAAAAAAAAACTTAACCAGTTATTTGGGTCAGTATGAAATAGTGCCGCTAGGTTGATCTCTCAGAACTATACTTACAAATCCAGATTGATTGATATGTGGGGTTTAACGTCCCAAAACCACCATATGATTATGAGAGACGCCGTAGTGGAGGGCTCCGGAAATTTCGACCACCTGGGGTTCTTTTTACAAATCAGCATCTCACGAATAGAACAAGATAATTCACTTCAGTCAGTGCTGGTCGGGATTTTGCGCTCATATCATTGTTTCACAAGTGCGTTTATGCCAGTAAAAAAAAAATCTTCCTTGCGGCTTGAAGCCTCACCTTGCACATCTCGCAGGTTACATATTCACCCCAGTTTCACTCACATGTGCGGAAACACTCACGCAGTCAATTCGTCGACGCTTCCTTGTGCCATTCGATTGGGGAGTGAACTTCCGGATTCCAATGCATCTGAAAAAAAAATCCCGATAAATTTCATCGACTCATTATTTCGCATTACTCTGCATAAACGTGTCGAAATTTGCTTCTTCTTTTTCCTTTTTTTTCCTCGGTTATGTATGTTTTATTAGCTCATAGTTATGAGTTTATTTTTTTTTCGCTCATTTCTTGTACTCATGTGTTTTATTACTTTGGATTTCCTGAGTGTTTTACGAAATTTACAGATCATGTTCTCTCTCATCTGGTTTAATAGTATATGCGTTGCACTATTCTTTTGCTACTTTTTTTTCATTGTTATCCACTATTTTAACGTGTTTGTGAAGCTGTGTGCGTATTTTTGTCCATTTCATCTTGTGTGATAACATGTATTCACTATGTGTGATGACTTTTTTTTTGTGATGCCCCCCCCCCCCTTACTCAATGCCTCTAACGAGTCTTACAAGGGCTATTTAAACAAACAAACAAACAAACCAATAAATAAATAAATAAATAAATAAATAAATAAATTTAAACAATTTTTCAAATATTTGCTCTTTTTGTGGAGCAGCTTTTATTTTTCTGGCTTCCGCTGTCCCAAATGAATTTGTAGGACTGCACTTTCTCTTAGGCAACACCTACGTGCGATGAGCTGCCGAGTCATTTGACATCAAACTGTTTGTGCTAAATCATATTTATTAGCGTTCAAAGTCCCAGAAGCACGAGGGACCCCGTAGCGGAGACATCTAGAAATTTCGACCACCCGATCGAGGTTATTTAACGTGCACCTACATCTAAGTACACGGGCCTTAAACATTTCGTCTTCATCGAAAATGCGGCCACTATGACCTTCTGGTCAGCAAAGAAGCAGCTCAACAGTTAGGCCACCATGGCGGATACTATTTGTGCCAGCAGGCTGAGTTAATACTCCGGAATAGGCCACGTGGCGAAAGAAAACGGTTTACGGTCATCTGATAGTGTACCCTCTCCCGCTACAGACGAAACTGTACAGAACGTATTCAACAGCCTACGGTCCTTGTACCCCACAGGTGACCAGGAACATGTTCTGCGCCGGCTACAAACAGGAGATCGTGGGCGACGCCTGCAAGGGCGACAGTGGCGGTCCCTTCGTGGTGCAGCGACGGAATCGCTGGTACCTCATCGGCATCGTCAGCTGGGGCGTCGGGTGCGGTCGCAAGGACCACTACGGCTACTACGCAAAGGTCAGCAACTACCACAGCTGGATCAAGGAGAAGATTCTCTACTAGATGGACGCGACGGTACTCTCTCCCTCCTTCATTTCGAGGGCATACATCGATCGTGTGCATGGGCTCAGGACTGAGTGCGTCAGCAATTACGAGCAACGCGCGACGTGTGCAACCGAAGACGATGATGCTGCTTCTAACCAGAACTGTGCCGTCTTGTGGGGTCATCGGACCAGAGGGCTGACATGTTGGACAACGTCTACCGGGACGATCGTAGTCTTGATCAACACACGTGCGATGTTCCTGTAGAACCGACGGGATTGCTAAGCCAATGCACTCGTGAAAACAGGCAGGGACCGTTGCGCTCTATATGTTACCACTGGTGAAGATGAACCGTCATTTATGAGAAGGAAGGTTTGAGAGAAAGGTTATTGTTGTGATTATAATGGCATACTTGAACAGCTGTATAGAAAAAAAAGATAAGTTGCTTAGTAAATAGTCCGTGATGTATGTTATGATGCGATAGTGAAAATTGTCTGATACGCAGCAGAATTGTTGTTTACGGACAACTATTGCAACGGTAGTGATGGTTAGGAGTTTAGCAGAAATGTGAATACGAAAGATTGTTCAAGACGAGGCATTAAGAGAAAGGGCATCAAGTTTACAATGTCGACGTTTCATTAATTTTTTTTCCTGACGAGCAGGTTTAAGAGGCCAATTGTCTTGCTGGTGTTTGGGCATTCTGTGGACATTCTAACTGAACTATGCCCAGCTCAAGCATACGTAATATTATCATTAAACTGTCGCCGTGCTTCTTGACCACAAGAAACTACATCGTTAAAATTACGCCAATGCAAGTAGGGCGTTTTGTGAAGGTTTTGTCGTGCCGTCTGGCCAGGATTTTCGCCATATTGACGTTGGATTCAGTGTTTGAGGATGGTATTTATTGGAACTTGGGCCACACTGAGAAGTTTTTTTTAAGTTATTTTTCTTACCTAATCAAAAAAAAGGTTGATCTATGCAGCTAAGTACCTTTTTTTCGCGTCAAGAAAACCTTATACACGGACAAATGCAGCGTGAATTAGATGAATGCAGGAGACACAGACGGACACAGATAAGCACACCCTGTGTCTGTCTGTGTCTCTTGTCTTAGTCGAAGTAATGTCTCCCTCCGACTATAAACCAATGTGCCCGAGTCAAAGTACTATAGGAAATGTTTGTCGAGTGACAGCAGGACTCGAAAAAGAGTTTTCAATGTAGTAGTGCGGCAGTAGCTGCTCACCGTTCCGCTTTTTATAATTTATTTGATTATGGGTTTTCCTTATACGTGTCACTGTTACTGTATTCCCTTGTGTATTACAATGTGTGTGTGTGTGTGCGCGTGTGTGCGTGTGTGTGTGTGTGTGTGTGCATGCGTGCGTGCGTGCGTGCGTGTGTGTGTGTGTGTGTGTGTGTGTGTGTGTGTGTGTGTGTGTGTGTGTGTGTGTGTTCTGATAGTATGCCGATGCTTAGTTTGCGGAAAGTGCTTATAGACGTAATTCTCAAGTATCGCTAGATGATGACTTGAACTCCGACACCATTGTTCGACATGGCATCCGAAACTTGGTTGTGTGCTTGTACATTGTGATAATGGAGCAGTCCAGGCTTTACTATCGCTGTTGGAACGATGCGATTACGTGAAGTGAAATCGCCTGTGCTAAGTTAACAAGTGCTTAGCTAGCAGCGTTTGTACAGTCAGCATGATCTTCAAACAGGCTAACATCTTTACATAGCAGCATTGCCAGTGCATTCATGTAACATTAATAGCATGTGTAGCCGTGACGTTCTCCCTTCCCCATAGTTTTTTTTTACAAGTGCAGTCGGCTTTTAAAATAGAGAGACCACTTGATATGATAAACGCTCGTATTTTCCTGCAATTTATGACCGTTTTCAATTTAACTGCACAGCACATGCTAACACGTTTTATTGCTGGCCAGAAATTCAAAATGCAGAGCTTCTTGCCGTAGCAGTGGAAGTATGAATCTCTTCTTGTGTCACGCGGTTTGTCAACATTGACGCGGACTGTGCATCCCCTGCACACAAGCGACATGCTCCAGCCAGTGAAGAAAGTACTTATTGCGCGGGCTTGTGGTAGTACTTAAGCAAGCTCTTTTAATGGAAAATGGCTCAGATTCAGCGTAGAACTGCAGCATCAATCAAGCCAGTCACAAGCATACTCATATTTAGTAACTTTCGTGATGGCATGTTGAGTACATGTGATATCTTCCACTGCGGCCTTTGTCTGCTGCCATTTTGCCAGGATAGCTTTCTCTCTCAATAAAGCCTGGAACAGCCACGAGTTCACATGTTCATGCTTACTTTTATATACAGGCACAAAAGTATTGCTCCTGCCGGGAGTCAGTACTCTCCTACGTGTAGTACCGGATCACTGTACAACAACTTGTCGATCAACAAAGCCAGGGGAAGAAAGTGACGTCATACAACATAGTCGTACATTCAAGCCGACGTAACAAAACAATCGCACTTTCTCTGTTACTTTTGTTTCATACATTGCGTGCGGGACCGGTGCTACAGAGCGTATATTGTAGTCAGTATTTATATCTGTGCGCGGGACGCCTTCTTGTGGTATTTCAACTTTCTCACTTGTTTTTCTTGACTATCATCATTTTTAACGAAACATATTGTATTCATGTTGTTTCATGTACCAATGGTCACCGAGGTTCCTGTGGCCATGTTGTCATGCCATAGAATAAATGTTTTTTCATTTTATTCTTACTTCTTCGCCGAAAATCTTTTTCTGATTCTCAACGACTTGTCCAATACCCGCTGGCTTTGGTGGAGTCTTATCTCGCCAACATTTACAAAAATTGCAGGCTACCCTCGTCCTTAACCAGGGATACTTGTCATAGGTGAGTAGTAGTGGTACATGCACCTCGACGTCGGAGTGCCCAGGTGAATTCCTCGGATTAACATTGTGTTTCGTTGCACGGCCAATGCAAACTTCAGAGGCACCGTTGAAAGCAACTCGTGGTTGAGGTCTACTCCACCAGGTGCTACAAGGATACCAGATGCCCACAAGGGAACCTTCTGATCTTTCATTGCACCCATTGAAACAACTCTCAGTAATTATTTTAACACTTATTTACCAGTGACTTCAGTAAATTATGCTCCGACATAAGTTTATTTAATACGTCTCCTAAGCTGAACCAGCATAGATTTCATATACCCATTTTATTTAGTTGTGTGAGACTTTTTCTGTGAACTTTGCGGCAAACTGGGGGGGGGGGGGGACGTGCCCTACCAAAAGTGATTGGAAGAGAAATAAATTGGAGTGCTACTTTTGGCTCACACCACTAACTTTTTCTATCAGATGTGAAGTGCGTAACACAGGTACATGTTGAGGGATGTTTCGATAGCCAGCTATCGAAAGGTCCAGCTATCGAAGCATCGGCTCTACCACTTGAGGTGCTGAGGTGCCTGAGCTACGGGACGTGGCTGGGTCAAAGCCCACCACCGGCATCACGGAGGCAAAAAAAAAAAGTAGGAGGGAGTGTCAGGTGAGAATTTTAATGCCCATCCATTAAAAATCAACATGGTCATCTTGGGAAACGAGCAAGAGGCTTCAGCTAGAGGGTGGGCTTGTGGACGATCTTTAATATTTTTCTCTTTACTTCGTGACCGACACCCAAAGAAAGCATGGGTATAGATTCATGCTTTTCTACCAAACGCCCGGTTGTCAAAATGTCTGCAATGCCCAAGAGTGTTGCGTAACGTCCATTAACGCCTACTATATTACGGCATTGTGTCGAACAAAAGGATGCACTGTTTATACAACCTTTACTGCCAGTTGCGTTTAGCTCTGTCGAATTGCGTCTTTGCAATAGGCACACGAAGGTTTTGATTTTTCTGGCTTTCATGAAGTCTAAAGCGGCAGTGTCTGCATAAGGAAACACTGAACAAAACTACGCAAACAAATGAAATAAAGAAAGAACACCTCACTTCCTAATTATTCCCACCCTTACCCCTCCCAAACGTTACCATTTCTCGCATTTAGAAGGTATCTACAAAGAGTGAAGTACGAAAAGGAGACTGGACCGTATAGAGAAAAAGACACGCAGGGGGCTGGTCAGTTTATTAGTAAAGCGACAACCTCAGACACCTCGTCAAAGCGACAATTACCAGTCCGGCATCAGTGGCGTCAAAGTAAGTGAAGCAGGAGTCACCATCAGTGTGATGACGTCACCCCGCGACGTCATCGCGTGACATGTTCGCTAACTCAAAAGTGCATCGACCGCAGAGGCTCTGCATAAGCGCGTGAACTGTAGAACACTTCCCAAGCCTCCATTTATGGAAGCAGTACAAAGCACGCTGGGTGCACAAAACTTCTGGGAGAAGGGTGATGCATCTATAGAACCGTGCGAGAAAAAGATCGCTTACGCCTACATGTTGTCTCAGGCAAATGCATAAGCGTCCATCAGACTTTTCTTGTATGCGGTCCAAGTATGTTTCAAATAGATCCCTACCAACAGGTCAAAGCTGCAAACTCTACCATCGCACAATTTTAGGGGCGAAGCTCCGGAAAGCGGCACCCGTTCGTCCCTCGTCGTACTCGTAGTGCGTAACCAGTCTTACGCTTTGACTTGCAAGGTGGTGCCGGTGGGAGATTTCTCCTGTGCGTTGTTTAACGAATAAAAAAAATTCGCAGCGTGCGCGTTAACTAAAAGCCGAATTCTCCTGTCTCTCATTCCCGATTAGCAGCCATTGGCATGTACATTGAGCACTATATGACAAGAAAGGGTTGCTAGGTTATACTCGCTGGGCGTAACCTCCTTGGTTTTAGAAAGGTTTAGCGAGCGTTGGACCTCAGTGCCATGAATACAGTGAACTAGTATATACCATGAACTCGAGGGGGTTAAAGGTGGGAAGTAGACACGAAGCGCAAGCCGTAAAAAAGTGTGCGTGTGTAACTTCTCGTTTAGTCCTTGGAATGTCCGCTGGATGGCGGTGCTTCTATATGCGGAATATATGATGAAAAGATGCGAGATGGTGGTACTTGGAGTGTTTAATAGGTGGACGAACGGACACGCAGACAGATGCATGGACGGACGCACAGATGGCTGCATGGACAGACGGACGCAGGGGCGGATGCATGGACGAACGCAGGAACGGACGCACTGATGGACGTGCGGACGCACGAACAGACGCACGCACGGACGGGCGGATGGACGAATGAACGGTCACACAGACGGACGCATGGAGGGACGGAAGCAAGAATGAATGGACGGACGGATGCTTCGCCCCACTCTCCATCATTCACCCCGTGGATATGCTGCGATTTTTTTTTTTCTCAAAACTTGCCATTTTTTATCCTGACGACATGCCGTGGGTGCGAGGAGTACATTGCCACTCAGCTCATAGCGTCCTCCCATCTGACACCTCCCAGCTTACGAAGGCAAAGCAGGCTGGCGCTGTTTAGATAATGACTCGGCCATCGCACAGATAAACCCGCAACCTCCCCGTCTCTTTCAGTGCACCCCTAATGCGTTCCCCGCAACTCCCCGGAGGAAGTGATGTATCTCGATGCAGGAAACGACGACAGAGTTGCTGGTTGGTTGACAGAGCCCTCTCTTGCCTGGTGTCTGTCGATGTGTGTCGACGCTTTAGACTGCGCTGCACATGTTCACCAGTCAAGGCGACATCATGAATGTTTGTTGCGTGTGGTAACCTCGCGTTAGAATCGAGGCCGCGGACAAACAAGAGTAAATGATCATGCTTCGTTTGAACAGCGACCTCTCGAAGTTCGTTCTCACCAAGAAGGTGAGCTTCAGTGGCCGGCAGTCAATGAATGGCGCACAGGTGACGCGAGGAGGACTTCGCAGGAATTCTAGGAATATGAAACTTCGCACAGTGTTGCTGGGAGCGACCATCGTGGTGATGTCGGCGAGCCAAGCTGCGTAAGTACACAACCGATGAGGTGACTTCAAAAAAAAAAAAAGTGTGAAACCCAAAGTGCGAAGAACATCGTTGTTCGATGAAATATTCGGCCTCTGTTCGGCTTGAAACCTAGCCGTGTTGCAGAGTTGCGTCGGGCCAGTACAACTTTCAGTGCGTTCCGAGTAGGCCGGTACTTTCGTTCTCGCGAAATTTGAGTTTTAGGTGCGAAAATGTGCTTATGGCTGGTTAACCACGTCTGAATGAAACCATAACCCAAAACGTGGGTAAGTGATACAGTAATGGCTATTCATACCACTAAACCATCAAGCATTCATTTTTTGTGAAATTTTTACGTTTAGCGACACACTTTAATTTTCGTGAACATGGAGGGGCATTTGATACTACGGTCAAAGGAAAAAAGTACTCAAAAAAGCAACATAAACCCCCCAAAAAATGCATTTAAGTAATGTTAAATCGTACCTGAAAGGCTCCTTTTCTGAATTTAAGCGAACACGAGGCAGCCACGCTATATGAAACCAGCAGCGACCGACAACTCATTTGAGTCTCTACGTTGCGGTCGACCACTGTTGGTCAGTAATTATGGATAAACTCTGTTTAGAGGAGCATAGAAGGACGAAACAGTTGTCCTAATGATGCAAAAAAAAAAAAAGAAGTTTTGACGCGCAGATGCGGGCGCATGTGAACCGAAACGGACAACGCGAACTCTTTCAGGAAAGTAAGGCGACGAACCTGCACATGGTTACGAGAAATCAAAGTTAGTGCGTCCTGTAATGCAAGAACGTCTAGCGCAGATGTGCCACAGGAATCGGGCAAACCTCATTACTCAAACGGTATGCGGAAAATAACGGAATCGTCCGAGGGCTCAAACGCGTTTTCTGCCAAAATTGGTCAAATCCCGCTGTTCACCACTAATCCACCTAAGATAACAAGGAAACAAATTGGCTGCAAGCAACCATTAGGATTCAACGGCCGGCGTAACCAACAATTAAGAAAACCTTATGAACCTTCTACGTTAGCTTTGTAGTAAACATCATGGCCATCGGTTTTAGTTTCGCTAGTTAACCATGTTTACGGAGTGGTTGGGCGGGGACTTTTTTTTATTGAACATCCTACCGACTTGCTCGAGTCTTCGTCAGTCTAAACAACCTGTAATATTTACAGCGTACGGTGCGACAATGTAATGGACAAAGCGGAAGAGTACGCACATACGGAGAACCACTTCCAACAACGTTTAATGCGAAACGAGCTCAGTACACGTGCTTGTATACACGACGCACTTTAACAAACGACAAATTTGCAGTCGAATTAAAGTAAAATGACTGCGCATTGAAGCAACGCTAACAGATAGGTTCATTTCGTAATAAACATTGTCGGAAGCTGGCGCTCCGTGCGTGTGTACTCTTCCTTTTGTCCGTTTTCATCGGCGCTTCAAATATGCTGAATTAACACGCCAAGTCTGCCACTCCTTCAACCTGTCATACTTGAAAGATCAGTTATAAACACATCACTTCTCGGGTTGTTGAGGGCATTGACGGGAGCCCGCAGCTCACAGAAGACCATACACGGGAGGCGATGCTTCAGAGCCGGACGGCATTAGCTTCTTATGTGTCTTCTAATCTTCAGTCGGTAAGTTCCTCCTTGGAGTGTCGCGTTACAGAGATAACCGCGCGATACCGTACCCTTACGCTGTCAGCGATTAGTATAGGACGGTTCTGTCTGGCCCTGCGGTTGTTCGGTGCAGCACAGACATGCGTGCATGCATTACTCGAACACTGCGAGCTCGGAAGTATACTGTATATAGCTCGGACGAGGTGGTCACGCGTGGTGTTAGTTTACAAGTGTTAACGCAGTACATATACGAAGGAAACAAGGCACTCAAATAAACAGTTGGCAATTTAACGCCTACATTTCTGCACGTCTTTGTCGTGTATTCTTCTTGTATGTATGGCGCTAATATAAGTTATTATATCCGCCAGCTCATCCATGCATTCCTCAATGTGCACACAACCACTTTTAGAGAAACTCCCCTTCCTCAAGGAAGAAACAGTTCCGAAGAATGGCGAATGGTTTTGTTGGGCGAGATGAGCGATTCGTCCGGCCGCGAAAGTAGAATACTCTTGAGGTCAAGAAGGTTTATCATCGAAGAGATGCAACAACGGCTCCGAGGAGAGGCCCGCCAAATGTGAAACAAACAAATAAACAAACGAAAAATTGGCCGCGTGCCTTTATGTTTCACTGCGAATGTCGCCGAAAGACGATAGTTTTGCGTCCGGAGAGAGTGAACGAAACGTTTATTTGATGTTCTGCGCGAGAAAATCGGTGAATTGCATTCTGGAAGCGCTGCGTTAGAGAGTCTCAATCCATGCAGTGGAGGCAAAAGAGTGCATCGAGGCACGTTAGACACGAGCGCCATCTGGCAGTTATGTTCGAAAACGAAGGAAGGCGTGCGCGCCTGGCTCGGAGGCGTTAAGGTGTAGAACGCGAATCGACGGGCAGGTGCTACCACCGTGTCGTCTTAGCAAAGCGTTTGAAACACTTGCCTTTTTGAGCATGACGTTGCACTGTCAGCGCAGCGCGATGAACGCTACGGTCTTTAGAATTACTTATGTGTGCCTTCTCTAGTATAAAGCCACACATAAAAAATATCGACGTGTTGTTATGGTGCCTCAGATGTGCGCAATAATTGCTTTTTAATTGACAATCTGAAACTTGAGCAATACTGGTGGGCGCTGCGGATGAGGTTGGCCGTTTGAAGTATCGTTTGGTGCCATTAAAAAGATTGTTACCGCGGACGGACGGACGGACAGACAGACAGACAGACAGACAGACAGACAGACAGACAGACAGACAGACAGACAGACAGACAGACAGACAGACAGACAGACCAAAATTCTGGCGTCCAAGGTCCCCAAGAAAGACTATCGTCTTTAAAAACAAGCTAACGTGTTGGCCTAAGACGGCCCTAAAGCAAAAGCTACTACCTTTTCTTCTCACCCGTTTGAACTAGCGTGCATGGTTGTAAAAATAACTATTTAACAACGCATTGCACAAGCGCTGCAGACAAAACAAAGAAGTAATTTCATTTCATTACTGAGCCTTTAGAATCACAAGAAGATTTATAAACTAGCTTGATTTGTTTTGCCAACCAATCAGTTCTGTTGTTTCCGTTGAAAAGTACTTGAAATCTAGCCAGCAAAATGTTTCTGTGGCAATACAGACGGGGGGAGGGGGGGGAATCCATGCAAATTGTGAGGAAGCTCATCTAAAGAATCCAATTTTTTGCAGGAACCGAACCGCAATAACGGGACTTGCGGATTCCCCGAATTATCACAAAATCTTAACAGCGTATTTCATTAACCGCGACCCCGTTTAGTATAAGTGTAGCGAATGACTCCTCTGGTGAACTCTACGCAGGTGCCTGCAGTTGTCTATAGACCCCGCAAACCGCTCCGTGCGCATTCCGAGAGGCAGGAGACCGCACATGACAACACCAGAGCCCGGGGTCGTGCGTGAATTCAGGGGTGAGTGGCAGTTAGTTGCATGGTCACGTACATTGTTTCTAAAGTACATCCTGTAAGCCTTGTCTCCTGACAGCACCAGGACCAGGTGTCCTGCGCCAACATTCAATAAGTTTCCTAATAATTCTCTACAGCATATTTCCTGCACTACGAACCACCACTACCTCATGTTGAAGCTTTATGCATCGACAGTGTCCAATAATAAACTAGCATAAAACTCAGGAAGGTAAACCAACTAAAGGTACCCATGTATATTCATTTTTTGTAATGTTAGAGCTGGTCAGGCCAAATTTTGGAGCCTCGTAGCAAAAGAAAAATTAGGAAAGCCTGGGCGGAGGCGCCCATGCGTGCTTCCCTAAATCACAGTACGAATGTACTCGAAAATGGGCATCGTCTGCCCGTTTCAAGAAAACCACAGGGGTCACGGAGTTATTACAATTGAAATGTGCGCGAAAAGTTAACAAGGAACACATTTCCGTTTTCTCACGTAGGAATTGTTCATACCTACACGCGATTATAGTCCTTTTTTATGCAGAAGTCATCCATCGAATTGCACTTCTTTAGCAGGACCACATTGCACATTGCTAAATGCCTTTAACTGTTTACACGACTAACGTCACTGTATGAGGTAACGTGGCGACCTTTTTGCAACTTCTATTTGTATTCTCCCTTTGCGTAGACTGTGGAGGCAACCTGAAGGCGTTATCGCAGCCAGCGAGGTTGTACTCTCCCGGTTACCCGAGCACCTACGACTCGGAACAGGAGTGTCGTTGGGTCATCACCGCGGTTCAAGGAAATGTCACGCTCCGATTCCTCCATGTACAGATCGAAGAGTCACCCGACTGCGAGTAAGTCTGCATGAAAAAAAAAAAAACTTCGAAATCTGGCACTTAATATGTTGCACTTGATATAATTCAAATCCAAAGGTAATGTCGTTATTGTGTAGCGATAAATGCAGTTCTAAATCCTGCGCTAAATACAGCTCCACGCCTGTTAAACTTGAGAAAGTGCGTAGCCCGGGTACCCAGAGATTCCCGTTCATAGAGCTGCCACTGCTCGGTTCACCAAACCATCGATGGCTACACCTATATACTTGGCGTTTCCTTCCAATAAAACCTCGAATGAAAGTATATAGCGCTTGTCTTGTGCCCTTCACTCGTCTTGCGCACTTTCCTTTAGCGCTTACATAAGCTATGGATCAGCACCAACAAGCCCGAACCCAGTGCCATCGATGACGTAAGTGATGACGTAAAATCAAGCATGTAGGATTTTCCCGACAATAGTAAAATCTTGTTATAGAGATTCGCAAACTCGGTGTGCCAAATGCGTTCTACTTTTTTTTGTTTTGTTTCACTGACTTCCTGCTGGTTACGGCATTTTAGATACGCCTCGCCTACAGCGAGTTACATCAGGTTGTTTTCCGCTTGAGATGTAGCGCCACTGGGAGGAGCAATCACGTGCTTGGCTAGGCGGTGGCGCCCTCTCTCTAGCTGACGCACAATTTATTGAAGTGTACCGTAGTCCAAACGGCACTGACCTTCCTTCGAGCAAACGACTTCGTGGTAGATCGCTCTATTCATGTACTCTCGTGTAAAGTGCTTATTGAAGTTTCTCGTTGATACAAGCTTACATACTCGTCTCGTCAAGAGATTTTTTATTGACACGTTACGTAGGCCATTCGAACAAGATTCTCGCGGAAATATAGATAAGTATACGAAAAATTATTCGACTCTAAAGCGTGCGGATTCCGCACAAAAACGTACGAAATTATGGGAATGTATTGAATGTTTAAGCGCAAATGTGCTGCGCCTTGAAGACTTGCGTGCAGTATACATCCGCTAACGGGACAACGCCTGTACTGTAACAGTTCGTTATATCATACCGCAGTACCCTTTACTTATGCCTGCTTCTACCTCTATCTCTACCTTTTCCAATTTCCACAGTGAGAAATAGCAGGCTTAAGACAGCCCCCCCCCCCCTGCATACGTCTTCTCATTTCTCCTCATTAAATATTATATTTTTAAATGTTAAGCACTTGCGAACTGCTCGCACTTTGGCGTCCATATCTATCCATCTGCTTACGTCTGGGTGCTCTCTTGATCACCCCCTTAACTTGGCGTGAACCAGATTTAGTATGGGAGGCTAAGCTGGTTTGACGAATATGACGAGCTGGTCAAAATATGAATAATGTGTTCGTCGTGTACGTCGTCAAACACTCACAGCCAAATAGTGGTCCACACCCACGGGCAGGTATGTGACGCTGGTATGCGGGTATATGCCACAGGTGGTTGAACTCAATATCTACCAAGTAACGACGACAACATACACGGGCAATTTTAACGCGTGAGCGCCAAGAAAAAGCAGACATCGGCAGCGTTGAACCGACGAATGCAAAGAATAATTCTCAGGATTTCAGCAGGAGTCGAACCCAAGCATTCTACCACAGAGCCACGCCAGACCTCGGAACTATTTTTCAAATGAACCCTAAAATTCGTGAAACATAAATTGTGGTAGCAGTGTTGGCTATCCAGTTTTATAAACATTACATGTGTACTCCTTTGATGCAGCCATCCCGTCGGGATAACGTCAATTGTGGTTAGTTGCCGTGCGCTAAAGTTGATTTATGTAGCAGTGTGAAGGGCTACCATTTTCGCGAGCACCAGAGCTTCTTATCAGCTTACCGCTTCTGGTGTTGCTAATACGCATGTTCCTGTTGGTATCATTGCGCAAGTGCAAATAACTGGTTGTATAAACATCTGCAACTTTTCAACATATGTCTGCGCGTGGAACATCCATACATATATCCAGCGTCATTTCATGATGTATCGCTGAAAAAAAAAACAATTACAACACGATCACTTTACCTCCACAAGCTTCGCATAGCGTCGATTTCCAAGGTACGTGGGATCTGCCGAATGTTTCTTCCTGCTTGCAAACAGGTTCGACAGCGTCGACGTGCTGATTGGTCCGAGCCAAGAGTCCGCCGGCAGGTTGTGCGGTTCCATGACGAACTACACGTTGGCCACCGACACCTCGTCCGTCACGGTCGTATTCCGGTCGGACGATAACTACGAAGAAAAAGGATTCTCTATGGAGTTCTTCGCAGAAATCGATTCCGCAGGTGAGTAATTTTCTCTAATGCCACTGACGCAGATTCGTCAACGTAAAAACCAGCAACGGCGAAATTTTAGTCTGGCTATTGTAACAGCGAAGGGCGTTTCACGGTGAACGGTCATTAGACCCTACACAATGAATCGAAGCAAGCAGCTATCAGCTGTGGTAGCGACTCCAGAACCGATCTGGCTGGCGATAAGCTGAGGCATAATATTATAGTACTGTTTACCTAAAATGGCACGGACTGAAAGCAGGTTTGCGAGTTAGAGAACTTTTGTTAATGAAAAAAAAAACTTTGTTCATTGAAGTAGGAGGGCGGGTTGGGGGGGCGGGGGGGTGGCTACATCCGAAGCCTAGCTGTGTGGGAAGAACTGCATAAATTATACTTTGTTGAACAGACAATGATAACATATGAAAGCCTAGGAGAAATTGTTTATTTGATACTTAAAGGGGTGGTGTCAGCAAATTTCGAGGCTATCCCAAGCCTGCTGTGGGTTTTCTCTGTGTGCAAGGACTCTCCACACGAAGGGTCGGACAAAACAAACGCGTAGAATATATTTTAATCCACTTTTAAAGTGTAGCTGAAGGCCCACTCTTATGATCTAGACTCATTGCTTGCGCGGCAACACTGACGTTTCAGAATAGGAGAAGCAACGGCAGTTGTGACGTCACACCAGATTGGTAGTGACGAGTGTGTTGGCGCGTCTTGCAGAGAAACTGTGCGTCCGTCAAGGCAACGCCTCCTCTAGAAAGATGCCTGAGGAATGGCTCGCTCTCCCAGCAAAGTTGGCCTGCCTTCAGTTTTAAACAAGCTCCGCGCGGTGGCGCTTGCCACCGACACTATCAGTAGTACATCAACACTAGTAGTACATCAACACTAGTAGTACATCAACAGGCCCAGATGGCATTCCAATTAGGCTGATAAAGACATTAGGTCCGAAGTCTAAGCAGGCTTTGAGAGAGGCAGTGAGCAAAATAATAATCGATGGTGAAGTTCCCGATGGATGGAAACTTAGCAGGATGAGCATGATCTATAAATGAAAGGGGGACAAAGCTGACATAAACAACTACCGTCCTATAACAGTGACATCAGTGGTCTACAGGCTGGCGATGCAGATTATAAAGGAAAGACTGCAGGCATGGATAGAAGATGAGGGGGTGCTGGGGGAACTGCAGAATGGATTTCGGAAACACAGGAGGTTGGAAGACAATCTGTTCTCACTGACGCAGTGCATCGAAATAGCAGAAAAGGAACACAGGCCCCTGTGGCTAGCATTCTTGGATATCAAGGGAGCGTACGATAGCGTGGTTCAAAATGAATTATGGGGAATACTGGACACACTAGGCGTGGAACATGTAGTCACTAAGCTTTTAAAGGGTATCTATAAAGGTAACAAGGTAGTTATAAAGTGGGAAAAACAGGTATCCAAACCTGCAGAGGTAAAACGGGGGCTTAGGCAGGGGTGCCCCCTGTCACCCTTATTATTCATGATATACCTACAAGGATTAGAGGCAAAATTAGAAGGAAGTGGGCTGGGCTTCAACCTCTCTTTAGTCAAACAAGGAAAACTTATTGATCAGGCACAACCAGCATTAATGTACGCAGATGATACAGTGCTAATGGCCAACAACAAGGAAGATTTGCAGAGATTGATGGACATCTGCGGTAATGAAAGAAATAGGTTAGATTTTAGATTCAGTAAGGAAAAATCAGCAGTCATCATTTTCAATGACAACGAAGGTAGTGAGCTTAGGATACAGGAGGTCACGCTTGAGATAACAGATAAATACAAATATCTGGACGTATGGATAAGCAATGGGACCGAGTACCTGAGGGAACACGAAATATACGTGACAACTAAAGGTAACAGGAATGCAGCAGTGATGAAAACTAGGGCACTGTGGAATTACAATAGGTATGATGTTGTGAGAGGAATATGGAAAGGGGTCATGGTTCCTGGGCTGACGTTCGGCAATGAGGTCTTGTGCATGAGATCAGAAGTTCAAGCAAGATTAGAAATTAAGCAACGTAGAATAGGTAGGCTTGCTTTAGGAGCTCACGGGAATACACCGAATCAGGGAGTACAAGGTGATATGGGATGGACATCATTTGAGGGCAGGGAAGCTAGCAGCAAGATAAAATTTGAGAAGCGATTGAGAGAAATGAAGGAGGAGCGTTGGGCTAGGAAGGTTTTCAGCTACTTGTACATGAAGAATGTCGATACAAAATGGAGGAAGCGAACGAGGAAGTTGACTGGTAAATACTTAGAAAACAGCAGGTGGCCAAACCAAAAAGAACTATCGGTTAAGAAGAAAGTGAAGAAAACGAAGACTGACATGTGGAAAATGGGCATGATTAAGAAGTCCGCACTAGAGATCTATCGAACTTTTAAGCAGGAAATTGCCAAGGAAAGGATCTATAATAATACTCGGGGTAGTTCTCTACTGTTTGCGGCAAGGACGGGAGTACTGCGAACCAAGACATATCGGGCCAAATACGAAGGGGTAGACGCAGTATGCAGTGCGTGTGGAGAGGAAGAAGAAACTGCCGAACACTTGATAATGCTCTGTAAAGGGCTTCACCCTATAGTTCAGGATGATGGCGCAGAGTTTTTCAAAGCACTGGGGTTTAGGGACCGGGAGGGCAAAATAGACTTTAAGCAAGTAGACTTAACTAGAAGCAGGTTATCTGATTGGTGGCTAAAGTCAAGGCACGAGTGAAAATTAAACTCTTCACTGCAAAGTACGAATCCTCAAACGCACTTTTTAAGGAAAAAAAATAAAATAAAAATAAATATAGTTTTGGGTTCATTAAGTATTACGGCTTGGTGGCGCTAGCCACCGCCCGATCTAAAGGGTACAGCCATCCATCCATCCATCCATCCATCCATCCATCCATCCATCCATCCATCCATCCATCCATCCATCCATCCATCCATCCATCCATCCATCCATCCATCCATCCATCATCACGGCGGCGGGCGGTACCAGCTAAGCGTTTTTTATCTGCGGCCCATAGGGGCGCGTCAGTCGAGAGTTGTTCGAGACCTGCAACTGTGCACCACTGTTTCGGAGGCTATGCAAAGTGTTGCGTTGTTGCACTGCCCGCCACAAGTGACGCTAGCGACCGAGAACATTTTAAAATGAAGGAGGGAAAGGGTGTGGCAGCTGTTTTTCTTCTCATGCGGCAGGCATCTTTCTAGAGGAGGCGTTGGTCAAGGACACTGGGTGCTTTCGAAGAGACACTCGACGCGTCCTTGTCTGCCAGAGACGCCGCACGCGTCCAACAGCGGGGCTGTCCCGTGCTCCTTCAGCGTATCGGCGCTCATAAAAAGGCCGGCGCATCTAGCGTCAGGCGGCTTCCTCGTCCACTTTCTGCTCATACGTTGTAAATATAAACACTTTGGTTCCTTTTGGTTGCCTTTCGCCTTTCCACTGCCTGGATGCTACTGCAGCTGGCCATGGCGACTGTCAGTGCGTTTGCTTTGCTGGCGCTTGTGTGAGAGCAGACGAAACTCAGCACGATGTGCGTCACAGCTTTGTGTGGTCACGTGGCCAGGCCACCTATGCATCGACGTCACTGCCCAACTTGGCGCCGCGAAACCGAAAATTGTCCGCAGAAGTAGAGCAATATTAAACTATTTAGCGAAACTACACGAATCTTGGTGCGTGTATCCTGCTTCCTGGAACTGAAGGAAACGCTTACAGCAAAGAACACGCATTGCACAAATTTGGTGTCTCCACCCCTTTAAATGAGTAAAGAAATTACGGAAGGGAATCGTGGTGGGAAAGAACAAAGCGTCGGCCGAGAGTCGATCTGTGTTCAAATGTAATGGGAGTAACTCCCTCTGCATTGAACGCTGGGTTTAGAGATCTGAATGTCTATAAGTAGTCCCGGTAGCAACAGATGTCGCTAAATACCAACAAACATCTAGTAGCTGAAAGTATACAAGAATAAAAAGTGCTATAAACTCTTAGTAAAAGAAGGAGGAAACAGGTCGGGAGCACACTTCAGCTCGGTACGATATGACCCGAAGGAACAATGGTGCCTGCCTGGCAATAAATGTGCAGAGCATGCATGGCAGAACACACGGGAGCAAGTGTCATGCTGGCCTGTAGCGCAACAGCTATAAACGTTACGCGACTGCCTAGTCGTTCTCGATCGATGCAGAGCGTACACATTTGGGCATCCGCTCCGCACGTCAGGTTTACTACCCAACTTCTCTTTAAGCTCCTCTTCAATTTTCATTAATAATTCCCTGTGGCACTGAGATGTATGCCTGTCTATAGACTCATTCCATGTTTGTAAACACAGGTAGACCAATGCCGACAGTGTGGATAAAATTATAACGACGTCCGCACGTAACTTCAGCCATAAGCGCTGAGGGCTGTGCATGTGCGCCAAAACGCCGTTGTAAGACGCCATAAGCGTTGTGAAAGCCATAAGCGCTGAGGCAACGCCTCCTAGAGTTGGCCGAGGGCAGCGATGTGCGCCAACAAACAAAGACAAAGTTGTGAGACGCGACTCACATCCAACCGTGACGCAGTTCGTCGGCGTGCCGTTTTTATTTTCTCGTTGCTTGACTAGAACATCACATGCACCATTGAAAACCCAGCAGAAACGGCGGTAGGCAGAGCGTCTTTTGCCCCAAGACAGCGCCACCGCATTTTCGTGACGGAAGTACTGAATAGCGCGGCTTACAGTGTCTAGAAATATATTTCTAGACACTACGCGAGTGCTAAATTTCCGGTCGCCATAACCCACGGCATTGTCACGTGACCTGACGCAGAAACGCCCCTTAAAATATAGGAAAGTGCGGCAAGAAACGAGCATACGGAGGACTGGACAAATATAGAGTAACCGAACCTTCTTTTTGAAAATCATGCAGAGTCACTTCACGTGGTCACGGGACGGCTTGCCAGGTCTAAACAGCTCCTTTTTCAGGCAAAGACTAAATATTCTTGTATGGCATGCTGCAACAGCGATGTGGCTCACAAGCAAATCTCCCTGGGATGGGGTTACTGAGGTGGGCTCAGTGTAGCGTCATGTGGATTTGCGGTTTTTAATTTATTTTGTCTGTATTACCTTCTGCCGAATCGAGGGCCAACAGCGATATTCCTAGCTACTAACGATGTCATACGTTAACGAAATCCATTGCTAGGCTACATAGTGTATCATCTTGGGCCAACACTTACATCACACACATTGAACGACTGCAGAATCAAGCGGTTAGACTAATGATTTTAGAGCATTTTATTCTTCCTATAGCTCATTGTTTCTAACGCTTAACATAATATGATTAAGACAATTATTTCACCACAGATTGTCCATAGTAGCATATAGGCTCATCACGCATGATATAGTCATTGCACGCATTGATCACCATCATTTACCTAACAACAATATTACCAGGTTTCCCCAGAGCAATAATCTTCTTTTACCAGCCGTAACAACGAACTACAGCAAGTTCACAACCTTGTTTTCAAGCATAGCAATTTGGAATTCATTGCCCTTCGAATAAAAATCATCGCACAACATTCACATGAAAAAAGTTCTTCAGGAATTAATGGAATCAACTGATTTGTGTATTTAACTGTAGGTAGCTTTCAACAGTTCAGTGCTAGTTCTATATTTGTATTTGACTTCCTACAACTGACGCAACTGACAAAAAAAGTAGTTGCATTTGTCTTGTACAATTCTTTCATTTTGCTTTGTTCTAGTTTTATTCCCTGCTATTGATAACTTTTATGTCAAATTTTATTCGTAGTATTACTATCATGTTATGTAATAATTGTATTGTTGCTGTTATTAAGTTCATTAGTCTTTGCTCACAAATTCACACCTTTTGCTGTACTTTTTTTGTAATTACCCCATTCAAGTCGCCATAGGAGGTCCCCCCATCAGTTTCTATGAAACATTGTAACCTCCTCCTGTACTATTCCAACCATGTAACCGAATGTGAAATATGTAATAAACTTGACTTGACTTGACTTGGTTCATCTTAAAAACTAGATAGCACGATTTCGATATAGGACTAAGAAAGAATTCAGTAGCACAAGAGAAGCACCGCTGGCAACTAAGTTTCAGAAAACGTTATCCGTACATACACAAAATGGCGCTAGCACGCGCAAGCGCACAAAATGTCGCCGGTCCTCAACCATTGTTGAAATTGGAAGTAGAAGACACAGGTAAACCCTAATCACATGTCTAAGAACTACCTTTCCTTGCTGTGAAGCGCAGTAAGTGCGTCACTAGGAAAAAATGCTCTCTATATTTCTAAAGTGATAAGCTTCCATGAGTTCTTTGGCAAGCGCATGCCCTTTATGCCCGGAATTCTAATATTATATTAAAAGAAAAGCGGCGCACAAAAAGACGGAGACGAAGAAGAAAACCACAAACAGCGCTGCACTCACAACTGAAAGTTTAATGCGAGCAACAAGAATTTAAAAAGTAAAAGCCGCGCATGACAAGTCACGTGATGCTTGCGTAAGCCAGACCTCGGTTACATTGCACAAAAAAGAGTTCACTTTTATTGATGAGCGTATCATTTAATCTCGTTGTACCTCACTTGTCATGCGCGGCTTTTACTTTTTAAATTCTTGTTGCTCGGATTAAACTTTCAGTTGTGAGTGCAGCGCTGTTTGTGGTTCTCTTCTTTGTCTCCGTCTTTTTGTGCGCCGCTTTTCTTTTAATATGAATACACACCAACTCGCCCAACTTTCTATTCTGTTATTCTAATATTAGTTAGCACTAGCTCACATGACACCTATACTGCAGTGCAGCGATAGAAGAAAAGTTATTGCTAACAGATCGCTCATGTTACCATGATCTTTGGCGCATCAACCAGTGTACCCAGTATAAACCTTCCTCAAGTGAGCGGAATTTTGTACACAATGCCTACGACACATAAAAAAACGTAGGGCCAGACACGCTCTTTACCACACGTTGGTTTTTTTTAGGTGGTGTCGAAATTTGTGGACGTAGCCCAGTCAGTTTACACGGCGCGAAAATTCGCGCAATCCACTTTTTCAAAAGTCATACGTAACGTTTATATCTAGCCCCGCCGCGGTGTTCTAGTGGCTAAGGTACTCGGCTGCTGACGCGCAGGTCGCGGGATCGAATCTCGGCTGCGGCGGCTGCATTTCCGATGGAGGCGGAAATGTTGTAGGCCCGTGTGCTCAGATTTGGGTGCACGTTAAACAACCCCAGGAGGTCGAAATTTCCGGAGTCCTCCACTACGGCGTCTCTCATAATCGTATGGTGGTTTTGGGACGTTAAACCTCACATATCAATCATCAAATCAACGTTTATATCTAGGTCACGCGATTTTCTCGCAAGTGATGACACCGAAAGCCTTTTCTGTTGCGCTGTTTTTGACATGGCTACACGTGGCGCCCAGTCGTGTTTACCGTTCAGCTGCAGAAGGACAACTTTTCTTGACAATTAATGGAAAGCTACGAAGGCAACGCTACTGCACATGCGCTCCTCCGTGAAGTAGTCCAGTTCGTCTCGCGTTTACAATGACGGCTGTGTTCGAATAGTGACAGCGCATGCAATTTGCTTCTCCTGCTTAGACAGCCTTTTGGTAGGGAAATTCGTCACAAGCTCCCTCAGCGAGTCACCGAAATAGTTGGAAGACGACGAAGCTCACCTAAGGATGAAGAAGACATCTTGACTGTGAGGTACACGTAAATTATGCGACGTTTTCACGTGTTCAAAAACACGAAGTGGCACTGCATGAAGTAAAACAAATATAAATATCTACTTGGTGTGCGCTGTGTCTTCATTAACAGCGTCCCATAGAAAATAATGTTATGTATGCTTTTCACGCGAAAAAAAAAAATCGTTCTTGCCGTAAATTACCCTTGACACTGCCCACTCGGGCGTGTACATGAGTGACAACGCGTGTCTGTTTTTGCCGTTGAGCTGCCACTTCCCGCGCCCTCAACTTCTAGGGTCACAGCTTGTTGTCGCCGTTGTCGTTTTGCCGCTGCTTCACTTGTTCTCAACTCTGGGGTAGCTTGTTGTCTGCGTCGGCGTTACCTTGCACATGGAACTACGTTCTCCATCGGTAGCACACGTCCATAATGGCTCCGTAGCCTTCCCTTCATTGCGAAGAAAACTTGTCCGCGACCATAGCACCATCTATTTTTTTCCTTGATAGCCATCACTACCCGATTATGTGAATGACAGGTGGTCGACCATCGCGTCCACTGAAATGCAGGTCTCGCCGAAGAATGCGGGGACACGCTGGTGGGAGACGAGGGAAACGTGACGAGCCCGGGATACCCGCTACCATACCCGCATAAAACCAGCTGCTGGACGCTAATTAACGTCGAGCCTGGCCGCGTCGTCAGCATGCGCTTCAAGGACTTGATGCTGGAGGAGGACGAACTGTGCACCTTCGACTACGTCGAGATCTTCGACGGCCCATCCGAAGGTGCGTGCGGAATCCATCGTTCAGCGGAAGTCATAGAGTTAGTAGATAGCTATCCCTGCGACACTGTTGTACGTAACTAAAAGACTAAGGTTGGCTACTTGGTTGCTGGCTACGGAGAACATGGCTTCATAATTGATTTTAAAGTGCGAAAAAAAAAACGCAATCGTGATAGAGCACAAGGGACAGAGCACAGCACACTAACTTGCCCAATAAAAAGATCTTTTAAGAACAAGGCTCCGTCGGCGGGTATTGTGAGATGACAGAGCAAAGCCTACAGAGGCAAAACGACGAGGTTCAACCGTTCAACTCAGTAGAACTTCGGCGTTGGTCCTCTGTGTCTCTTCCTGTGGTCTGTCGCCATAGCCTCAGATAGTGCTATCTTGTGAATAGCCATTATGAATAGCCATGGAGCATCACTGCAATCGTCCTAGTGCTCCATTTCACACTAAGGCAGCACCAAAAGAGCATGGTTATCATTACCCATAAATGTGTTTCATTATTTCTCTGTGAGTCACTGAATGATTAGCCACATGTTTTTATTTTCGATCATGTTAACCGAATATCATGAATTCTTAATATGTACTCCCCCCGCCACGTCCAAGTGTTGTTTTATTGAGAATACGTAAAAGGTGATCGGTTACAACTTCAGCTACGTCTTATTTGCCCTCTCTTGTTTATTTGAAGACTCTCCATCACTCGGACGGTTCTGCATGGAATCCCAGCAACGAACTCTTAGGTCTTCGACCAGCAGCGTACTGGTCCACTTCAAGTCCGATGACTTGACCAACAGTCGGGGATTCCTCCTTGAGTACAAGAGCGACAGCGCGGGCGCCAAGGTCAGCCACGAAGGAGGTAAGCTACCAGCGGCGAAGAAGTAGGTCTGCCGTTAAGTGAACGGGAGTAAGCTTATCCTTTTATTTGTTTGAAGTTTGTCGAGGGAGCGTTGCCAAGCGTAGCGTAATATTTATGACAGGGTTAATTGCTGTTAACAAGTGATTTAGGTATAGCTGACAGACGATGCCAGGGATCACAAAGCACCTTTATAGAACCTCTATGCCCTTACAAGGGCACGAATTTCGGGGAGTTGGTTCAATAAAGTCATTGAGTGCTTTGTACAGGCTGTATGGTAACATCGGGATTTGACAACGGCACTGTGGCCTCGCCCGGCTACCCGAACAAGTACCCGGCCTCGGCATATTGCCTTATCGACCTGGAGGCCCCGAGAGAAGCCAAGGTGGCGCTGCGGTTCGTTGAATTCTCGCTTGAACCGGATGCCGAATGCAACTTCGATTTCGTCGAAATTTGGGACGGACAACAGGAAGGTACGTGCATGACGGTGTGCTTTTTAGGTTATGTTCTGAGATGCTTGCTTTAGAGAAGTGATTCATCAGCAGTTTCCCAACACGTAGAAGAAAAAAACTGCAGCATATCCTCGGAGTGAACGATGATGAGTGGGGTGAAGCGTCCATCCGTCTGTCTGTCCTTCTGTGTATCTGTGCGCTCGTCCGTCTATTTGTTTATGCGCTCACCAGTGCACCCATTCGTCCGTCCGTGCATCGACCCGTCCATTCGTGCTTCCGTCCACGCTTTCATCCATCTGTCCATCCACGTGTCCATTCATCCATCCGCCCATCTGTCTCTTTCTTTGTCTATCTGTCTGTCTGTTTATTTGATACTGCCAGTTACGCGTGATGCAGGGCAAGGTTAAAATAACAGCAGCTTCGCCCCTAAAACGTAATCATCACCATGATAGTCATCATCAACAACAACAAGCTGCGAACACCCACCTGCTCTCCCACACTTGTCCGATTAAACCAGCATTTTGCTTGCTGCGGCCACGCTATATGCTCAGACATTTCTTATCCTCGTCTGTCCAATAACCTTTCTGTAACTCCCTGACGCACTTCTCTCAGAATCCAATCTGCCACTCTTAAAGGGACCCTGCGACGCTTTTTCATCTGTTTTCTGCAGCACTGCAGCTCATGTAGCGCCGAATGCAGGGATGAATACACGAGCAAGAAGAATTATTTATATCGGTACACGGTAACGAAAGTTATCAGTCTTGAAACGTCGAAATCCCATCATACGACGAGAAAAAAAAAGATGTTCCATTTCTAGTTTTACTCTTAACTGATGTCAAAGGCCATTTAAAATCACTGCGTACCTCGCACATAGACGTACCAGACGACAGCCTTCGATGTGGCTAGATGTGGCCATTGTGCAGCGGCCCTAGCGTCCTTTTGTAATTGTTTTCGCATTTTATTATTCAAAAAGAGAAATCATTTGGCATCTGAGGAAGTATAAAGAGTGCTTTGATAAATTATAGCACACACTAGTGTGGCTTATTCGGCAACATATTAATGTTACGCGCTACTTGTGGCGTAGGGCCAATCAAAACGCACGGTGTATGTCATCACTACCATGTGGTGATGCGTCACTTCCTATCACAAAAATAGCCGCTGTGTGTTGCCCTAGTCCGAAAAGTGTGATTTTTCGTATACATAAAAAGTCAAAGCATAACCACGGAGTGAATGATGATGAGTGGGGCGAAGCCTCCATCAGTCCGTCCATGCTTCCGTCAGTCTGTGCAGTCCGTCCATGCGACCATCCATGCGACCATTCGTGCGTCCGTCCGTCCGTGCATCCGGCTGTCAGTGCGTCCATCCGTCCTCACTGACATCACTCACCTTTCTTGCTCACTTCAATCCACTCATTCACTTCACTGACTAGCTCACTTCAATTAAGTCACATCACTGTGAACACTCACTCACTTCACTTCACTCACTCACATCGCTCACTCGCTTCCCTCACTTACTCGACTTAGTTCAGTCACTCACTCACTTCCGTCGCTTCTGTCATTCACTTCAGCCACTTGCTCACGCATTTCACTCCCTCGCTTCACTCCCCTCAATAACTTCAGTCATTTCAATCACCTACTTCGCTCACTGACTCCACTTCTGCCACTCACTTCACTCACTCGCTTCTCTCACCCACTTCACTTCACTCACTCAATCACTCACTGCGTCGTCGTGCATTCACCTAAGAGGACTCGAAAGTGATAGCCATCTTCTCAGTCGACATATTTATCCTGCACCCTTAACTTTCCGAAAGCTTTCTGCACCTAACTAGATTATGCACGGGCGATTTTAGTGTTGTTAGATATGGCACCAATCTTTGTCACCTTGACCCTGCAGGCTGGCGATCTCTGGGGCGACTGTGCGGAGACAAAGGGGAGAACGCGGAGCTGATGTCATCCGAGAACCGCATACGACTGAAGTTTCACAGCGACAACTCTACAGAGTCGCGAGGCTTCGTGGCAAACTTCAAGCTCATCTTCCCGCAGGGTAAGTTCGTGGTTAGTGACAAAATCATGGTAATCATCGTCATAATTACCATCAGCCTCACTGCGCCCACTGCATGGCAACGAAACCTTTCATGTTCTAGCTGCCAATCAACCCGGTCCTGTGCTTGCATGCGGCCACGTCATATCCACAAGCTACTTAAAATGACACAAAAGGCAACTATTAAGTCGACGTTGATTGTCGAAGTAGGCGGTCCAGAAAGCTCGTAGTGTCCTTTTTGTGCACAGAAAATGCTTATTTAGAAATCAAATCCCGTTTTAGTGATCCGCATTGGGTTAGCGCACTTAAAGTTATCCACCTCAAGCTGACCGTCTCACGTCCCTGTTGCCGCGCACAACGTTGCCCGGCTTTACTGCGCGGCCGCGGACGTAGCAGCAGGACGAAGCAGGGGGAGCCACCGCAGTAACAACGGCCATTGAACAATTTTCTTCCATTGCCTCCGAGTTGGCAGACGTGCTTGGTTCAACGAGACCCCGCAAGATGACACGACCTGCTCAGTCTAACGAGGCGAAAATTGAACATTTGAACCACTCGCGCCATTTCCCCATATGTAACGTCCTGTGGTTCTTCTTTCCACGAATCGATCAGAAACGAACAAATAGCCTTCTATTACGTCTTTTAATGCGCGGAAGGTTGTTTATTTAGTGCACCTAGTTCTATTACTAATGAATAATTGTATGCTCTAACTCTGACGCCATTGTAGTCGTTTTGCGAATGTCCTACTCCGGCTACGTGTTCTCTTGCATTTACTTCAAAGGGGGCCTGAAAAAAATTTTTAAGTTACCATAGAACGGATTAACTAAACTAGTTTATCGCCTCACGAATTCAGTCAGCCACTAAGTCAAGAACTTTGTTAAACGGTCCCGAGGAGCCACGAATTCAACGCCGCAAAAATTTTAAGAGTCTGTCCAGTACGAGCGGTGTTGCAAAGCTTTATCACACGCTGCAATCGCGTTTTCTCTTTTCTCGTCCCGACGAAAGCGCTGGAAGCTCAGCAGGGAGGGATGGCAGGGGCAAAGAAAATACGTCACGTGCACCTCGTGACCTTGAGCATTTTCTTCTTTTTTCATTTCTTCGAATACGCGGCTTTTTCAGCTTGCGTGTGCGCGCGCGCGGACAAGTGGCGGCCTCTTGCGGCAATCCCTCTAACGACCGAGCGCGCCATGTTCAAATCAGGCAATGGCTGATAGAAGGCTAAAAGTGATTTCTGAGCTTCCTCCGTCATTTGCCGAGATAAGAGAAAGCAATTTTAAGCCGACTTTGATAATTATTTGCGAATTTTAGGCCGCGTGATGCGCTCTATTTGGCTAGCGTGTTCTCGGGAGCCTCTACAACCAATCGGCAGCATTTTCTAACCGTGCTCAAAAGGCGTTACAGGGCCCCTTTAATTTCTCAGTAAATAGGGCACTAATCTTGATAATATTGTCGTTGTAGACGTTATCATACATTGATCTTTCATTCCCACGTATATCGTTATCTGACTTTAGTGTCCCTTTAATCTCACCTGCCTGACCCACTTCCTGTCTGCACCTCGCGCGTTTGCCTTTTCTTCGAATACAGTATGTTCCTTTTAACAATCAGCAGTCATCTTGCCTACACTCTATAGAATACATTCGATGAAATGCATATTGCCAATTTCCTAAACGTCGATTGCCACCTTCCAAGTCCTTATTACTACTATAGTTATAAAACTTGACGCAAGCATCGCTGGAAGTATTTTGTCCCTATTTGTGACAGAGTATTTGACTTTTAAAATATTGCTATAATATTAAGTTCTTTCACTCATGTTATGGTCATGGGTGTTGGTGGGGGAGTCAAAAAAGGGTTTCCCTGCAAAAGTAACTGATTTCACCGTTATGCAGGAAAACCGAGGGCCCACCGACGTAAGTGTTTTCGCATGTATGGTTATGGAAAGCTTCGTTTATCTCCAACTTCGCTTGTGCCTAGTTGGGGTTTTATTCCTGAACTAAAATAAACAGTGCCAACACCGGACACGCCCATTTGTGGGGGGCTGTTACCCCTGTAAAGTTGTTGGTGCCGCGCGGCGCATGTGTCTCGCGCAGAAGCCGTATCTCGTGGTCAGAACTATTGAGCGGTAGGTGGCGTTGTGTTCGCGAGCGGGGAGTACAAAGTGTTATGGGATGGGCATCATTTGAGGGCAGGGAAGCTAGCAGCAAGATAAAATTTGAGAAGCGATTGAGAGAAATGGGGGAGGAGCGTTGGGCTCGGAAGTTATTCAGCAACTTGTACATGAAGAATGTCAATACAAAATCGAGGAAGCGAACTAGAAAATTGACTGGTAAATACTTAGAAAACAGCAGGGGGCCAAACCAAAAATAATTATCGGTTAAGAAGAAGGTGAAGGAAACTGAGACCGATATGTGGAGAATCGAAATGATTAAGAAGTCCGCACTAGAGATCTATCGAATTTTTAAGCAGGAAATCGCCAATAAAAGGATCTATGATAATACTTGGGGTAGTTCTCTACTGCTTGAGGCCAGGACGGAAGTATTGCGAACCAAGACGTATCGGGCCAAATACGAAGGGGTAGACACGGTATGCAGTGCGTGTGGAGAGGAAAAAGAAACTGCCGAACACTTGATAATGTTCTGTAAAGGGCTTCACCCTATTGTTCAGGATGATGGCGCAGTGTTTTTCAAAGCACTGGTGATTAGGGGCAGGGAGGGCAAAATATACTTTAAGCGGGTAGAATTATCTAGGAGGTTATCTGATTGGTGGCTAAAGTCAAGGCACGAGTGAAAATTAAACCCTTCACTGCAAAGTACGAATCCTCAACCTGTCTATTTAAAGGGAAAAAAATAAATCTAGTTGTTTGGTTCATTAAGTAGTACGGCTTGGTGGAGCTAGTCACCGCCCGATCTAAAGGGTACAGCCATATCCATGCATCCATCTATCCAGATCCAAGCTATCATCATCACGGTTGTTAGGTCGGTAGCGCCGGGCGGTGACCCCTGGCGGCAAGCCTTGGTGGCGGCAGAGAGAGTTGAGCGAGTCTTTTGAACGGGTGGTGGCTGCCGCGAATGGTTGTCTCTAGAGAGGGTCACCGGTGCACGGCACCACGGGCCATCTGCCAGGGGTCCTTGTGGTGAGCCAAACGTTGGCGCTGTCCCCTTGTGTTTGTTATGCTCTTGAGCGTTTCGTAATTATGTGTAAGGTTGCCTTAGCGTGTTGATCCCGACTGATGTATAATTATTCGGCAGACGATATCAGCGTTCTAAAAGTAGTTCTAAATGTGTGTTTTTTTGGTTCGTCCGACCGTGTCTGCTGCGTCCGTTCACTCCAAGAGCGGGGTGCTTTCCCCACAACGAGAGAGGGAGAGAGAGAGAGAACTTTTTATTGAAATGCTGAGAATTTAGCCGGGATATACCCCACAACGATACACCACACATTCTCGCACCATCTTGTACTGTTTGCTTCCACGTGAGTGATGTACCAACCAGTCCACTCGGGTGAGCTTTTCCAACGTCATTTACGTTTAATACGTCTCTTATCCTCCTTGCTCAGCTTTCATCTCTCTCTTGCACGCAGACAGACCGGAAGTGGAAGAGGGTAACAACACCATCATGCGCAACAGGACGCTGGTTCCGGCCCTGAAGCTGATGTATGAGATTCCCGGTGACATAACGGTTGCCGAAGACGACGAAGCGTTTCTAAACTGCATACCGAAGGTGCCTGAATCGAGCGTGGCGTGGTACGAAGTTGGTTTTTCTGGGTGACGCCCCGTGTGATCAAATGAAACGCTGATGTCTAGAGCAGAATACTTTCAAGCACATTAACACACAACACACACATCCATAAAATGAAAATATATGCCCAATATCGTTACTGTACACTGGGCATGTCTTATGTAAATTAAGTTGTATAAGTATATGTAGAGCTATCCAGCGCTTTCTTGTTTTTTCTACGTTTCAAAGCTTGCAGTGCGCTTCGAGATGATGGCGTTGTCCACTCGGTGAGGAGTGTGCGCGTAGTGCTAATCAATGACCTCAACACAGCGAATACACGCAAGTCCTCGTCGCAGGAATCCTTAGTCGAATGTTGTGTCGTCTCTGAGGACGTGCAGCAGCAGGCCTTCGTCGGTGACGAGAACGTAGTTTTCACTTCATAACAATCTCAGCGGCTTCTTTGTGTGTTGAGTCATCTATTACCATCTGTTTTATTATGCTCCAGTCTTTCTTCACTGCCGGACAGTCCCTTGATGATGATTCATGCGATCTGTGGCAGTTCGGACATTTCAGAATCATTACTCCGCAGTATTTTGAACTGTGGGGCTCCACACATCGGGTGCAAACCTCTGCGTTCGTGCAAGCTCCGCTCACGTGACCAATTTTCTGACACTTGTGGCATTGTAGTGGTTTCAGTGTAAATGGATAAACCACGTGTCGAAGGTGTCCTACCTTCACGTGGAATGACAAAGTGCCGCCATTCCTTTAAAGGGACAATAAAGGCCAATGTTAAGTTTCAAGTTTATTTCGCATTTCCTTTTTACAACAACAACAAGAAAAGAAAACGCATGGGCAAGGAATAAAAAGCTGCATAACATCAGCTTGACGAGGTTCCTGTCCCCTTGGCTTGTCGATGTTGATTGCCGAAATAGCGACCCAAAAACCGCTCAGTGCTACCGTTGTGCGAAGGAAGTGCTTATTTTGAATTAAAATTTCGTTTTAATGGCTCGCATCGCAATAGAGCACTTCAAATGCTCCGCCTGAAAGTGGTCTGTTTCACATCACTGTGGCAGTGCACAACGTTGCCCAGATTTACTGCGAGGACGCAGACACTAGCAGCAGCAAAGCGAAAGTAGCGGGAGCCACAGCAGCAACAACGGCCATTGAACAATATTCTGCCATGGCCTCCGAGATGGCGGGCGTGCTTGGTTCAACTGGGGTCCGCTAGATGGCATCACCTATCCAGTTTAACCAGGCGAAAATGGAACTTACGAACCACTCGCGCCATTCCCCATAGTAACTCCCAGCGGTTGTTAGTAACTCCCGTCATAGTAACTCCCAGCGGTTGTTAGTAACTCCCGTCATAGTAACTCCCAGCAGTTTTCATAGAAGTTAGTTTGATAACTAGTGATTAATTGTAGTCGGGCGCTTTCACGTCATCGGGATCACTTCCACAATATCCCACTCATGGAGCCTGTCGTGTGGTACATTTAGATTAAATTCTCGGTATGTAGGGCACTGCTGTTGATAATATTACCGTTTGAGACTTTTTCATACATTGAGCTTTCCCTCTGACATAAATTGTTATTTGCCTTTAGTGTCCTTTAACATCACGCTTTGCAGTGAACTTTATCCAAAACAGTCGAGGTCAATCCAATCTGTGAATGCTCGCAGTTCTACGACCTTCTGGACATGTGCTGCTGTGCATGCTATTGTACAGTTTTTCCTCCTTTTCTTTCTGTCTTTATTTATTATTTTCCTCTTATTTCCGCCTTCCCTTATGTAGGGCAATCTGCTTAAGCTCCCTGCCTTTCCTTTTTTTTGTCTCTCTCTACGTTTCAAATTCGTTTATTTGCAGACGACTGCGTATTATTCAAAGAAATTTTTCATCTCGATGATCAGGTTGAGTTATATAGCAATTTAAATAACGTATTGCAGTGGTGCTAAAAACGGTGCATGGTTTTGAACGCCGATAAAACCGTACTGCTCCCTATAACGCGTAAAAAAGCACCCTTGTCTTTTACTTACCAGCTTGGTTCTTCGTCATTTAGGCAAGTCGATAGCTATAAATACTTAGGTGTTACAATAACAACTACCATATCGTGAAATAGACATGTAAATATTATTTTCTCCTCTACATTAAAAAAACTTTGCTTTGTAAAACATAAGCTTCATAATGCCCCAAGCAATGTTAAATTACTGTCCTATTATTCTTTAATAAGACCTAAATTAGAATACGCGAGTGCAGTATGGGACCCATACACTCAGACTAACATCATGTTCTTGGAAAGAATACAAAGAAAAGCCATCCGGTTCATTTTTAACAAGTTCTCACGAGTCGACACTCCTTCTGAAATAATGAAGGCCAATGACATTTACCTTCTTAGCACACCTCGAAAACAGATAAGAATTGACCTTCTTTCTCTACTTCTGAACCACAAACTGGCGATTGACCCATCGCCGTACCTGACATCGTTATCAACCAGACCCACAAGGCATCATCACGCCAAATCTCTAACACCCTATTTCTGAAGACAGATGAATTTGTGGTGTTTTTTTCCTCTTTTGTCCAGTACATGCATTATTATGAAATAATTTGCTATGTCGCTCCTTGTGTTCACTATGGGTGTATGAAACACTCACCCCAAACAATCTTTATGCCACTTATTGTTCAACTATGTCCCCTTGTAACTGCCCACCTGCTTGGACCTAAGGGTCTGCAGTATGTAATAAATAAATAAATAATAAATAAAATAAAAAATACCATTTTAATCTTACGGTTCTCACTTTAAAAATTTAGGTGTTGTTTTTCTGTGCATTTATTTCATTTCAGCAAACTGACTTTATTATCATTACATTTACATGCTGACATTGCTGTTTGTAACAATAACTGTCTTCGTAACAGGAAGTACGATTTCCGTTTCTAACTACGCGACATGAAATTTACATACCATTACATGAAGTGTACATATAAACGAAAGTAGCGTGCTTAAATACTGATACAGGACACCCTTTAATACGTACATTTCACTTAGTTATCATACTAAGTGTTCAATAAGTTGAATAAACTGATTCCGATTTAAGTGTCTTCTGCTCAGAATGGTTGACTCGAAGTATTTCATTTAGATGCACTTAAAGAGAAATGTAGGAGAATATTTCCTAAAATAGAAAGTTAGTTGCATGTGCCACCTCATTCATTCCAGTCAAATTGGTGATTTCTCTCCGTGCGTGGTCCCGTGCAGGTTCAAAGACGGGATGATACTAAATGGCACCGAGCCCCTGCCCGATTTGTACGTGGTTCCACCGAGCACTCTGTGGATACGTCGGATGCACTCAAACCTGACTGGCAGCTACACCTGTCGCGTCATCGTGAATCACCTGAAGGCCGAGTCAACGAGCGTAGTCGTCATGCAGGGAACGAAGGCGAGCGACAACTGTGGCGTCCGTAAGTAGACGGTGATTGTGGGACTATGAATGAAAGCGCAGACCAACAAAAAAAGAAGCTATGAATTTATGTTTAACTAGCACCAAAAAGGAACGATTTCAAGAGAAACAAGGTAAGGAAGTGATAAGTCAACCACAGTTCTTCTTATGTTCATTCGAATGCAAAGTGTCAATCGCGGCCGTGTATTAGCACGATGAGTATGGGAAAAGAAAACCGCGACACGGACAAAAAGGCTGCAAGACGCGTACCTGCCTCTTCGTCTGTTCTGTGGTTATTTTTTATAAACGTGTCGCCGTAACACATGTTACAGTTATGAAACGCCAACCTGCTCGAACAGCAACAATGGCTGTGCCTCAGTGGAAGTTCTCTTGGCTTATTAGTCTACATGACCTTGTCTCTTCTGTACCTAGGCGATCGATGTAGTCGTAGTTCTAGTAGTACCTAATAGTATTGACAGCAATGCTATTATCTGCAGCTAGTAGTAGCAGTAGTAGTAGTAGTAGTAGTAGTAGTAGTAGTAGTAGTAGTAGTAGTAGTAGTAGTAGTAGTGGTGGTGGTGGTGGTGGTGGTGGTAGTGGTAGTAGTAGTAGTAGTAGTGATCATAAGCTGGCGAGGGGGAGCCAATTGAGATCCCCCTCCCACAGCGCCTGCCGCTGTGGTGTTTCACTAAAGCGTGTCCCATGAACAATTGTCGAAGGAACACTGTAGAGTTGTTCTTTGAACAATCAACACTCATTACATTCCGCTACCGCACGCGTACCTTCCAGAATTCCGCAAGAGCCCCAAAGACCGGGAGCTTCCCCAGGGTGAGACGATGGTAATGCAGTGCGCCGCCCAGGTGTCGCTGCAGCCAACGTCGGTCGTCACGATAGCATGGCTACGCAATGGCCTGCCATTTCCGACCAGCAGCCGGTACCGGGATCAAAGCAACGGGCTGGTTTACGTCAACGATGCGACGCCCAAGGACACCGCCGTCTACACTTGCGTAGCCACTGACCGCCACAGCAGGTGCAGCATCAAAAGATCCGCTCTGTACCGGGTTCTGCCAAGGATCAGCGTCGATGAAAGTGAGTTATTCAACAATTGAAGCTACGTAAAAGATGGATGTTCGAAGTATCGAGTTCTCCTACGATGGATGCCACCAGACAATCCGGTGTCATTTCTTGTGGGACGATTTTGCGTGACTTGTTGGGTGTTCTCAGAAAAAACTCTTCGCGCCGTTGCTTATCAGCCGCGACAACCAACGGAGGCAGTCCGCGCACCTGCTGCGCCGATATCACGCAGATACGGCCTGATGTGCGAGCCTATTGATAAGAGTGACGAAAGGTTCGCGCTTCTACAGGGGGTGCCACAGCCAGCTTTGCACTTAAGTTCTGGCGGCGCAGTTTAGACATTCTTGCATGTTCTGTGACTGACTCTGATGATAGGGTGGAGTCTACTCTGTCCACGCCAAGGAAAGATCTAGCGCGCGATGCAACTCTGGGGGCTGTATACGAAGGGCGCTGTTTCTTTTCAGTTTGTGGAAATCCTGTTGTCAGCCGCGCCAACACAACGAGGCCACCCGCGCAGCAGGGCAAGATTGTGGGCGGAGAAGACACCGTGAAGGGTGCCCATCCGTGGCAGGTGAGAGGGATGATGTTCTGTCACTCATCAGCAGGTTAACTATCAGGAGTGGGGTGGTACAGTGCCTTAGGGCACTAGGCTGCTGACCCGGAGGTCACGGTATCGAATCCCGGCTGCGGCGGCAGCATTTTCTATGGAGGCGAAAATTCTGTAGCCCTGTATGCTCAGATTTGGGTGCACGTTAAAGAACCCCAGGTGGTGAAGTTTCCGGAGCCGTCCACACGGCGTCTCTCATATTCATATGGCAGTTTGGAACGCTAAACCCCACATATCAATCAATAATTTATCAGAAGCGATATGGGTGTCTTCGTTGCTAGGAGATCCCTAATGCTCACTGGTTAGAAGCAAAAGAATCCCATATTTAGGTATGAGCAGTAAGCATTAGGCTTGCTGCTCCCAGTCGGCAGCCACAGCAAAGTGAACGGATACACCAGGGATCACGGATAATTTATTCCCAGCGGCTTGCGCAGTAAATAAGCACGTAATGAGACGATAGGCACGGAATGAGACTCGACGATCCAGACACATCTTCAGTCTTTGGAACATCCTTTTAAATCTTTAAAAGGCCCATATACCACCCACGGGTCGAGATTTAGTTGTGGTGTGGCAGTTGTGGAAGAGCCTAGACCGAACACGTAGCCGCGAGAATTTTTTTAAACGGTGCTGTAATCGCGGAGTTAACATAAGTTACACGCGTTCGATGATCGAAACGCAGTAATCGCTCGTTTCTCTCTTTCCTTCGTTACTCTCCCTACGTCGGCTGGTCTCCTCTCCCAACGCCACTTTGCCCTGGATCGTCGTGATCGTTGCTCCCCTACTCGAGTGGCGTATCACAATGGCCGACGCGCTCTTCGAAACAGCGTCCACATCCGGTTGCCGCGACACTCTGGCTGTGTTCTCATTCTTAGACAGCACGTAGACAGTCTATGCAGACTGCTTAGAAGACAGTACCAAGCCCACGTCTAGACAGCTTTTACGCGACGAGGCACCACCTCGCGTTGAGAAAAGAAAGCCAAAATAAACAAACGTAACAGCTGCCTTTTCTCGCTTAATTTGTGTTAAAGTCAGAAGAAAAAAGATAAACGTCACTCACATTGAGCTTCTGGAGCAGCGTCTGCTTGCGTGCAGACGACCATTCCGGCGAGATTCGGTTTATCTGAGCGATTCGCTGAGTCGCCATCTTGTTTAGACAGCAAATTAGCCTGCATCGTATTTGTCTACGATGCGGTCATCTCGGAGCTGTCTACTTTGCCGGCTACGTCAGAACTAGAATGGGACTTAAGATGGCCGCCATCCATTCAACTGTCTATTTAGCCGTCTACGGGGAGTATTGGAACACACCCCGCGAACTCCGTGCTTCTCGCCTAAGGGCCATTCCACGCGCTTACCGCACAGCCGCAACGTACCTGCTTGGACCCCTGCCGCACGCAAGCGGGGCGCAAATAAGCCAATTGGCGACGCTCTTTCACCCTCCGGAGCACCACCAACTGGCTTATTCGTCCTCCGCTGCGTGCGGTAGGGGTCCCGGCAGGTGTGTTGCGGCTGTGCGGGAAGTGCACGCGTTTCCCGCACAGCCGCAACACACGTGCCGGGACCCTTGCCGCACGCAAGCGGGGGACAAATAAGCCAATTGGCAACGCTCTTTCACCCTCTGCAGCGTCGCCGATTGGCTTATTTGTCCCCCGCTTGCGTGCGGTAGACGTCCCGGCACGTGCTTTGCGGCTGTGCGGGAAGCGCATGGAACGACCCTTACCGCTGTTGCAGTGCTGACCCGTGCTCCTGCGGATCGTGCCGGTGTGGATCGGGCGTAGCGCGCGCGCCTTGAAACGATCGCAAACATTGTGGACGCGAACGGTGACCCGCCGTGCCGGGGCACCTACGCTAAAGCGCGGGCTTGCCGACTAACCGGAAGTCAGAGGTTCTTGTTCGACCAATCGCAGCATTGATAGTCGATAAACTTCGATATGCAATATCTTGACGTCGCGCGCGTTACCGGGGAAGTCGGAAGGGTACGGAGAAGAGAAGAGATTGTTTCTAAAATTTGTGGTGCGCCCGCGGCTTGTAGCACTGACACGTGTGGCATCGTTGATTGTGACGGTGTTCTTACCACGACGCATGTGCTTGCTTGAAGTGTTTGAAAAAAAAAAGACCGTATGTAGTTTAGAGTTATTTCGATGCAGTCTTTTCAGTTTTTTTTTCAGTGCGTCGCCAACAAAACTTTCGCCTTCAAGCCGTCTTAACGCTAGCGTCAGAGGCCATCGAAGTTTTTACAATCATACCTTCTATAGTCTACGAGTTCGCTAGATTCCGTGCCGACCGGTTGTGCCCCCGCGATCTCCGACGACAGCGCAGCTCTGGCTGATCGGCTCGCCCTCCGCCATCTCCTGACGCCGTGAAGCTCTCGCCTAGTGGTACCCCGTCCTCGGACTCTTTCGACCGCGTCCTCCTTTCTATATCTTTTCTTTATTTCTGCATGTGGGTGTCCTTATCGCTATCATATCTCTTTCAATCTTCCCTATCCCTTTTAATCCCTCCTTACGCCCATCCCTCGTGAGCCACTGTTGAGGTGTCGCACTATGATGCAGACAGTTACGGGGCTCACTTTTATCTTCTTTTCTTTATTTTAAGACGCACTTACACATCCATACCATATGACAGTTGAAACGCTGTTCAAGGAGTGATGCCACCCGACTAATGTTTGACTGAACATCCACTCATTCAACTGTCTATGCACACTGAGCTAGATTACCAAATCGAATAGTGACGTTCATTTGGTAAAGGTCCTAACTGCGGTGAAGCAAGGGCACCCGAAGAAGGGAGCGCACGTGGTGCATGCATGCTATCTTCACCTCTACTGCAGTCATTGTCTGAGCGCAGTTAAGAACCATCGCAGGATGTGAAGAAAGATAAATGGCTCGCCACGCTTGTCACTCTAGGTGATGCTCTGGTCCCCGTCTTTGAAGAGGGCTTTCTGCGGAGGCACGCTGCTGAACGACCGGTGGGTCCTGTCGGCGGCGCACTGCTTTCATCACGAGCTGGTCCAGCCGGAAGAAGTCCAAGTTCGTCTGGGCGAGCACGACCGACTCGAAGCCGAACCCGAGGAGGTCACCACTAAGATCGCTGACATCTACTTTCACCCGTAAGGACGTCCGCGTTTAATGTTCATCACAGTTACTGTAATTGTTATAACCCCGCGTTCACTGCAAAGCGAACGCATCTTCCAATCAAACCCTTCTTGTGCTTGCTGCGACCATGGTAAATCCACAATCTTCTTCATCTCTTCGGCCCAAATAACCTTTTTCCTGCCCCTTGAACACTAGTTATGCTCTTGGCATCTATTCTGTTACTATTAATAACCAGCATTTCTCTTTCTTCCTTACAAGTCCTGTCCATGCTCATTTCTTCTTGTTTACGACTAGGATGTGCTTGAAACCTATTTGTTTCTACACCTTCTGCTCTCTTATTGTCCTTGAAGGTTCAGGTTCTAGTAATGCTCCTAAAGTAGCCCCTTATAACCAGACCGCATGCTGTGCTATAGTATTCGGCTCGCTGTCTTCAAGAGCCTCGATGACAGGTCGGCAGCGTTTTCTGAGAATGTTGAAGACGCTTTGCAGGGCCTCAGGGTTGCGGTCACACATGTTTCCAACGATAATGGCGGTTCTGATATTGCACAAGGACGCTGTTTTCTTTCCATTTTAAGACCAGGAAAGCCGGGGACGAATTGCAGGCCATTGGGAGAAGCACTTTATTGCTCTAACTTTCATTTTAGGAGCGAAGCTCCTTAAGGCGTGGGCTGTGCGTCCCCTGTATGTAGCCACCTCTCGTTCAGTTCTAAGTATTACGCTAGCCACCGCCCGATCTAAAGGGTACAGCCATATCCATCCGTCCATCCGTCCGTCCGTCCGTCCATCCATCCATCCATCCATCCATCCATCCATCCATCCATCCATCCATCCATCCATCCATCCATCCATCCGTCCGTCCGTCCGTCCGTCCGTCCGTCCGTCCGTCCGTCCGTCCGTCCGTCCGTCCGTCCGTCCGTCCGTCCATCCGTCCGTCCGTCCGTCCATCCATCCGTCCGTCCGTCCATCCATCCATCCGTCCATCCGTCCGTCCGTCCGTCCGTCCGTCCAAAAGATGCAAGATGTTATAAACTAGGCGACGGTACGTGTAATTGATTATGAAAGATGCGAGGTGTTATAAAATAGGAATGATGCCACATATGGCGCGTGTCATCGTTCGATATAGTGCGGCGACGTACGCTAGGGGGAGCGTTGCAATAAAATCGAGTGGGCAAAATGTACGGAGGATTCATGGTTTACCAGGTTTACCTCCGGAGCTTCGCCCACTCATCATCATTCACTTCGTGGATATGGCGGCATTTTTTTGCATCTATTGAAAGGTTGGATGCCTTTTGGAGTGATCCAAGAAGAGGTGAGAGATAGGGCGCTTCGATGAGATTTAATCCGCTCCCTTATATGCCCTACGCATTCCTACGATAGTTGTGCGAAATGTTGGCTCTGCTAGAGCCGTCAGCAGCTTCGGCAACCCTGCTTCCGCATACGTTCAATGTATGGTCAAACTAAAGATTTTTGCTGGTCTGAGAAATCGAGTAAGCTGGGCACCAGTCAGGCGAAGACTGAGAAAACGGAGGTGGTAGCGCTCCCGTCATCATTTTCTTATCTTTAACCTTACTTTCAATTCTCACCCATTCCTATATACTATTCTATACATGGATATATGCTATGCTTCCCCCTCCACTTTCTCCATTACCTTTTCCTCATCCTCGCGTCACTCCTGCCAGCCCTCAGCACCAATTGCCAGCTCTTTGCAATGCTATGCTTACTTCTCTTATTTCCCTGTCCCCCCCCCCCTCTGTTTCTCCTTCCTTCTTTCTTACTTTTTCTTCTTCTCTGTAGATCTGCTAGTTCACCCGCCCTTACAGGTTATATATCATATCGAACGTCGGACAAATCGGGGAACAGGGAGGGCAAGTGCCTGGTTCACTTGCTGGGGAAGTGGAGCAAAAGCGGAAGAGGTTGAAGAAAGCACGCGCCGTTTGACTTTATTGTGTTACGCGCGATAAAAAATACAGGCGAACCATGATGATGACAGTTCTTGTTTAGGCGAAACTGCTGAGCCGCGAACTTAAAAAGCACCGCTGTTATGGAGTCAAATGAGCGGCCATGGCCTCGTCAATGCGCAGGAAGTTCAACGCAAGCACGTACGACAACGACATAGCGCTGCTGCTTCTCGCCGACCGGGTGAAGTTCACGGACTACATCCAGCCGGCGTGCCTGGGCGACCGCACGGCCATTGAGCGCGACGAGTTCAACTCGACCGACGGTGTGCGCAAGGGGAAGGTCACCGGATGGGGTCAGCTCGCCGAGAACGGCCACACGCTGCCGCGATACTTGCAGGAGATCGAGCTGCCCATCGTGAACCAAGATGTCTGCAGAAACGCGACGACGTACAAGGTATTTCCAACGCCACCATCGTTATGTAGTGTGTTGCAATACTCGCCGTAGACGGCTAAATGGACAGCTAACCAGACAGCAGCCATCTCAAGTGTCATTGACATACCCACGTATCCGGTAAGGTCGACAACTTCGCGAAGACAGCATCGGAGACAAATGCGATGCAGGCTACTTTGCTGTCCAAACAATATGGCGGCTAAGCTGAATGCTCAGATTGCCCGGATCCGGCCCGGTATTGCTATCCCAACAGGAGTACATGCTTGTCTACAAACTAATTGTAAGCGACGCTAAATTATGAACCCATAGGAAGGTAAAGAAATAATAGTTATGTTTGTTTTTCTAAACTTTCTCTTGCGACTTGAGGTGGCGCCAGGTCCCACAGACGTCCTCTAGACGTGTTCCATTACTGAGTCGGGATCGATGCTGCCTTCTAAGCTCTCAATGTGGCTGTCTACGATTCTGTCCAGAAGTAAAATATCCTGCATTCCACACCTGCCAAAACCGTCGTCATCATCACCATAGTTTATGGTGTGGACATCATAGTTTCATACTCGTGCGCTGGAGGGAAATCTGGCGCTAGTGTCTACTGGTGCTGCGATGCATGGAGCTTCGGCCAGCATTTCATGCATGGACTTGCGTAAGCTTCATTCTTGCGGCTCAGTATGGCTGGCAACCTCTTTATTGCAAGACTACGTTTAGCAAAAGTTGAGCAGCGGCGTTTCACAACCTTAACATTTCACCACACCAGCACTTCACCACCTTCGCCAGCTGACCAGTTCCAATCTTCTCACGGGGTTCACACCAAGCCACCTCTGTTCAAGGCGAAACGAAAGTCCAAAGCACATCAAATAAACAAAGTCGTTCGAAGATGCAAACACTAAGACCATGCAAATCCGTATACTGACCATCATTCACTAAGTGAAAGAACAATCGCAGCGCCGCAGTTTCCTTATGTAAATACTCTAGGAAATTCTATGGTGGATGAAACACATAACCTCATCATAAGTCTTTTATGGATTTCTGATGAAATCACGTAACTTCCTTATAATGGGCTTTCTGACACTCAATTATCGTGTATGTTCTCAGTGAATTTTCTGAATATTTTAAAAACACTGACTTATGGAGCGTCACTAGTCATCGTATAATCTGCTGGCGGAGACATAATAACACGTTTCGTACGAACTTCGTGCAGCCACATCATGATACGATACCGAAGGCAAAGGGTGAAGCTCCTCCTCTACTGAGCGAACTAGCTCATACCAACCCCTCTGCCTTCTAATAGGTTCTCTCCCTTTTTCTCTCTGAAAGCCTATCGTTCGAAAAAAAAGCGTTGACCCCTAGCCCGCCATACTTGCTAGTAATAACAAGTCTCACGCCATAGTTTTCTGGCGAAATTATCCTTATAAGGGTTCTAATCTATGACGGTTTTCGTCAAACGCACTGAAATCTCGAAGGGCCAGCAACTTGCAACAGGAAATTTGCTGAGACTAATAACGTGTTCACCGAGAACTTCACAGTAATTGATTTCAACTCGCTATATGTTTAATACGATGACTCATTTAGTGTGACAAGTTTCACCATTAATTTCTCGCCGAGGATCCTTGGTAGTATTGTCCCGAACTTCAGTCACACTTACGTACTTTGGTCCTTTGGCACGACGAAACTTTCTCTAGATTGATAAGTTAAGTCTCTCCCACCCTCACATGATAATGTATACTTCATTTTTTATGGATTAGGGAACTACGCAGGCACTTGTAGACGACATGAAAATCTACGATATCATGACAACTGGTGTGAGAGTGACAAGAACACGTCATCAACCGCACTTTCTTTTTGCCATTTCATAGCTTGCCAAGCGCCTTCTAGCAGCAAACACGGCAGCCTTGCAATCGTGAAAGAATAATTTACTAATGTGAGTAAATCGTTCGTCTCTTTAATGTCTGTTTAACAAACACGTGAACGAACGTTAAATTCCCAGCAGGGAGGAAGGAAGAGTTTGTATGAAGCATAGTGCGATGAAAAAGAAAGAAAGAAAGAAAGAAAGAAAGGGCTTGCCACGCGCGAACACGCTAAGCTGCCCTTGTCCCTAATCTCCCGATAAGACAAGAAGACTTAACTTTTTCTTCGTATTGTTTTGCAGGTCACAGACAATATGTTCTGCGCGGGATACGCGCAGGAGATCGTGGGCGATGCCTGCCAGGGAGACAGTGGAAGTCCCTTCGTGGTGTGGCGCAAGAATCGCTGGTACATCGTCGGCATTGTCAGCTGGGGCGTGGGATGCGGCCGCAAGGGCAACTACGGATACTACACCAAGGTCACCAACTATCACGACTGGATCAGAGAGAAAATCATGTACTAGCTGGCGGACCTTCATAGTCCGTCCTGCGCTCTGAGAAGCGGCCGAACGCATCTACTGGATCATGAAGTAACGGTTACGCAGACAAGTTCGAGTAATGGCTTCCTAAGTGATGCAAATAAGCCGGTGTTCTATTTGTGTTTGTAATATATGAAGTCTACAAGAAGAAAATGATTTTCGTAAGAGTCGGCGATCCGACGCCTGTAAGGTAGAGGAGGATCTCTATCGGGCTTTCACGTAAAAATAAAATAAAATCAATCCACGCATCTCCACGAAGTGAATCATGAGGAGCGGGCGATGCTGTGGGTATCGCATCCGTGAGTAACCGCACGATATCCGAGCGTTGCCCGATATAATGTGAATTGATTGGTATATAATATATTTAGAAATGTAAATTACTCATTCGCTGCAACTGAACTTGTATGTTTGCCTCTTTAATGCTATTAGAATCACTGCGCATAATGACGTTAAGGTCACCGGGTAGTATAAAGGGTTGGTGCTCGTAGGTGTTTTATGTTGTTCCATCACAATTATATGATTGCTATTAGTCTATCATGAACCTTTTATATTTATTCCCACACACACGCACAGATGCTTCGAATATAGCAACGGTTTTATATATACCGTGACAGCGGACAGTGAGAGTAGACGACAAAGCTAGGTTCTAAGGTATACGTACATAAATATATAGCATAGATACTTGGTGCTTCTGATAATTCTAGG